GTTTTAAGACTGCTTCGCTTCTCTCGTGTCGTGTGGATAAGATGTTTGTGAGGGATGCCATGATTCCATGGATGTGCTTATTGTTGATGACATGTGAACCACCTCTTTCTCTATATCTTTTTGTTTTTTTTTAATACAATATATTAATTTGATCCAAACCGAATTTTTAGATCAATTACATATTTAAAATCAAATAAATACGGTTTAGATAATTAGGTTAGTACAAGCTAAACAAATCGATCTATTATTGCTGACCAAGAGATTTCTTTTACCTCTGTCACCAAAACTAAATTACTTCGAAAACTTGTAATCATTGGAGTTAGATCTATTTCGATCCAGCGTAAGAGTTAGTGTTAACGAACTTTCATTTTTTCCTTCTATAATTAATTGTTATTTGTTATGATTTAATTGTTTATTCTTCGTTATTGTTGTTGCGGATGAGGTTTGATGGCTATTCGAAAAAAGAAAGATGTGGTTTTAATGTGAAGATGATTAATTTAATTGTTACCAATCATCTGAACTATCTAAAAAGGTATTGCGACTTGTGGTTGTGGGTCAGACTCCATTATGTTATGAGTTTATTTATTTAAAAAACATGACATCCTTATTACTTTATTGTTACCTAACTTTTTCCAAAGTCAATCTTTTTCTATTGTTTTTCTTATAATATTGTTCATGTATTCATGCCGACGAAAAAATGTTGTGTTGGGTATTAGTGTATTACTATTACAAGTCTAAAGATATTAGAAACTTTAAAAAAGGATTTAAAAGATAGTCCCTTTTATTCTTGTTTTCGCTTAAATGTAGTAAGTAATTTATGGTATTATTGGTGCGCGTGTGTGATGACAACAATTTTTTCGTTTATTTGTTTTGCTATTAAAATTTGATATTAACAATATTTTATCTAAAATTCTAGGTTTCTTATTTTGTGGTATATGATGAACATTTTAATTATATTAAAGAAAGGTTGAAGTATAAATAGGATTCATATGTTTTTAGTTTAGGAGATATTAAGTTAATATGTTTCCCAAAAACTTCCTTCCAGTATAAATAGGATTCATATTTCATATTATTATGTAAATATTCCATATTGTGAATCTGAGTTCTTGAAGAACTTGGTATGCAATATGATTGATTTAAGCTATTATCATGGTCTATGTACTTCTAATTAAAAAATTGTATGTCTTAGATTGAAAAATCAGTAAACCTCCTGGTGATCTCCAGGTGAATATAGATGATCAAAAGACATACATCTAGCTAGTATGTCTCTTGAATATACTATAATTTATTCATACGCATGTCACTAGAAACTTGAAATCTACCAAAATATTCTATCTTGTCATACCAAAAAGGAAAACATATTTTACCTTTAAAAATAGTGGAGCACAATATGAGCTAAACCTTCTATAAATTAAAAATAAAAGAAAAAAAATTAAAAAATGGCGTCTGGTTTATTTGGAAAATCGCCTAAATCATTTGCATATATTATTGCTCCGAGCCCATTTTTGTCGTCTTATTCGGAAATTAAGATATCAAATGATTGGGTCAATACTTTTTTTTTTTTAAAAGCTCAACACCTAAGTTCAACATTAGGATTTTTATTAATTAATATATCTAATTAAAATAATTTAATTTATGATAAACAATACGTGTCGTCGTGGAAACGAGTTTGCCACACCTTCTCCTCCCGAGACTGGTCTGGCGGCCAGGGACCAACTCTTCATAATGAGAAACCAAATTTATTAGTACTTGATTTTTTATTACTACTAGTTTAATATTACTATGCAACCATACATGCACTTCAAATAACGTTACCGGATTAATAACTATCATCCATAAAGTTAATGCAAATTTTTTTAAAAAAATGCTTGGTGTTCAAATGCTTACGTTTATTGATCCCTTTTTGTTTGACAACCAACTACTCTAAAAGGTTTAAAAGAATTATCGACTGATTTTACATATAACTTTGAAAGTTTTCTTTTTCGTATTTATCTTCATTCATATGATACTAATAATCATTTTTTTGGTATAAATGTAAAATTATATTCACCAAAAAAAGACTGTTTTACAATAAATGCAACGTAATGAGCAAATATATTTGAGGCAACACATAGAGATTTTTAAAAAAATCGAACCAAGATTAGAGACCACGAGTTTGAAACCAGAATCGGAGTATGCCTTCGTAATCGGAAGAACCCGAAGTAGCCATAGTGCTTAGACGATTACGGACGCTCTTATCGATCATAGACGTTAGCTTTGATGCCGGTATGGGAGACTCACCATGACTTCGACCATTACGTTGTCGCCAAATGCTATGTATAGTAAGCTGAAACACATACCTCACCACAAACGATTGATATCGTGAAGTGGATGAAGCCATGAGGATGGATAGGAGAGTTGATAATCATTTTTCAATAAGTTACTCGTTCTTTAGGAAAAAAAAAAGTTACTCGTTCTTTTTTTTTATCAGACTTATATTACACGAAAACTTTTTCGATCAAAATCACAGAAATATTAACTAGTATACTTTAGTGATATAAATAATTAATTTAAATTTTCCCATATGCACCACCATATAAGATATATAAATGTTTTAGTTTTACGGAAAAATAGACCGTAAAACTTAGAAAGTTGTTTGCATGTTTGAAGAACTACTTTGAGTTTTGGTATGAATTCTTCCGGCTTAGAAGAAAACAAAATATTATATACAGAATGTGAGCTAAATTCAAGAATATTTGCACAACATCAAAGTCAGATTATACTAATATTCAATTAGAAAAATAATCTGATCAAATATAAATGAGCACCAATTCCACGGTGCGACATCATATTAAAGTTTATAGTTAAAATTGGTGAACTATTCTACTTTTTTTCAATTTTAATATAAGATTATCCATGAACTTTGTCTTTCATCATTCTTAATTTCCTAGCATATTGATAACTCGTCGTACCTAGAAAAAGTCAAATGTTATACAATGATATAAGTTATAATTGGTATTTTTTCATTGATGTAAGCATTAATCTCGTGTGTGGGCTAATATCATGGTTAGGGGGTAAAACAGAATTTAAGTAAGCAAATACTTTAAATAAACAATAAGAAAGTTATCTATATATTAGATTATAGATGAAAAATAGGGATAAAAAATAATGATGATAACAATATGTATAGGATGGGTAAACTTTTGCTCAAAAAAAAAAAAAAAAAAAAAAAGGATGGGTAACCTAACTTCAGTTGGACGAGTATAGCCGACAAATGCATTATTGGGAAGTGCCAAAACAAATAACATAGCTGAGACCAAACCTAATGAAATGTTACACATCAACTTTCTTAATCAATTACTCCAAAGATTTTAGGTTATTGTTGACGAATCATATTCACCCACATCATTTTTTTTGTTTCTACCCACTTTTATTGTACTTCTCCTTTATATATTTGTTGTGTGTTCTCTTGATAGCTTTTGTTGTGTGTTCTCTTGATAGCTCTAATGATACGTCAGGTAACCAAACAAAAAGTGATTTAAAAGGTGAGCACCCATTTTTTATGAACTCGGATTTAAAAAGTCGGGTAAAGTAATTAACCTAACTACCGGACTTAAGACTTTTGATTAGTTATATCTAGCGATATAGCTTGACCAAGTCTTATTTGTGATGTAATGATTGTTCCAAAATAGTTTGAATTCCAGGTTTTAAGACCATGGTAAATCTGTAACATTTGTTATATGTTATAACACTTATAAATTGTTCTTATCTTACACTTTTTTTTCTTTCTTATATGTTACATTGGTACATCGATTTATCCTGAAAAGAGAAAGCGCGATAAGATACATTATAAAACTCTAGGGAATACTTTGTAATCTAAAGATAGCTATGAGTTCAGCTTCAGAAAAATTAAGGATGTGAAGAATAATTGGTATGGTAATGAATCACCTTGTTTAAATATTTTTCGAAAATAAAGTATATGCCTAACTCTTTTCAAAAAGTACTAAATTAATTGGTGAATGAGATCAAGAGAACCAAACCTATACAAGATGGTGGGGATCACTATCCATATGCCTTGTATCAAATCAGAAATTTTAACTAAAATATATAATATCTAATTAAATAAATGAATTGAACATCAAGGGCCAATGTGTTTCTCTGATAAGAAAAAGAGAGGCTGAAAATTAGTGGGTAAAACTGTCTTGTGGTCCGTTATTTAAAGGCACCTGTTGATAGAATTGTAACATAACAAAATAAAAATATATGAACATTAACATATATGTATATATGTACAAACGTAATAGATAAAAATGAAAAAAATCAAATAATTTTAAAATTAATTAAACACGGAAAGAATCAGTGCATCCTTAATTTGTTGTTTGATAGGTTGAAGGAAAAAAAATGATTATAAAATCAACTTAAATTTCCTTAGAAAAAATGATAGATGAATTTTTTTTTTTTTGTATACAATAACATTTCATGATATAAAAATCTAAAATACCAATGCCGACTAAACCCAATGATACCATATGATACCAGAAAAAGAATGAAGGAAGCTTTAGATATAATATTTAATTTATATTCATGATATGATAATTCTATTCTACCAAATATAAAATCATTGAACTTTTTTGGGAACTTTTCTCTTAGTGGGAAGAATAGTAGCAAGTGCCAAGTGAGATGCTCATTTGGTCAACCTTTGCAAGTATAAGAAAAATAAAAGTAGAGATCATAATTTCCCACATTATTCTTTTTTTTTCAGAAAAAGAATTACCAAGAAAATAAAATCATTTCTTTAAAATAAAATAAATCATTCCTTTGATTAATAATTATTAGCCATCCACCCACCCATCAATTTCTTAAAAATATAAAATAAAAATACTTTTCTTCTCCTTCTTAAGAAGCCCCCTTGGCTTCATCTCCTCCCATTATCTTCTAAATTTCATCAAACAAACAAAAAAACTCATTTCTTTTTCCTCTCGAAATCTCAAAGATATATAAAAATTTACAAAGGCATAATTTTTTCATTTCGACTCAGATGGGTTTTGATGATTCATGCAACACAGGTCTTGTTCTTGGATTAGGTCTCTCACCAACTCCAAATAATTACAATAGTGCCATCAGACGATCCTCCGGTTGCAAGCTCGAGCCCTCGTTGACTCTAAGCCTCTCCGGCGATCCCTCGGTTACCGTGGTGACCGGAGCTGACCAGCTATGCCGTCAGACGTCATCTCACAGCGGAGTCTCTTCTTTCTCAAGCGGGAGGGTGGTGAAAAGAGAGAGAGACGGTGGAGAAGAGTCGCCGGAGGAGGAAGACACGACGGAGAAAGTTATAAGTGAATATAATGAAGATGAAGAAGGTATTAGTGCTAGAAAAAAACTTAGGCTTACGAAAGAGCAATCTGCTCTTCTTGAGGATAGCTTCAAGCATCATAGCACCCTTAATCCCGTAATTATGATATCCTTAATCCTAATTATTTTTTTTATTATACGTAACTAATCACTTTTGATAATCCTTATCTAATCAGATTCTTTGTTTTTAATTTATTTACAGAAGCAAAAGCAAGTTCTGGCTAGACAGCTGAATCTAAGGCCTAGACAAGTTGAAGTATGGTTTCAAAATAGAAGAGCCAGGTAATTTTTATTTATTTATTATAAATTATCAGAATATTATTTGATTTTTACAAGTTTCGAAAATTGTCTATTTAATAGTCAGAAAATTTTGTATGTGATATTATTTTTCTTTAAGTTATATATTTATTTTATTTAATGAAAATTTGAGCAGGACAAAGCTGAAGCAAACAGAAGTAGATTGTGAGTTTTTGAAGAAGTGTTGTGAAACATTAACAGATGAGAACATGAGACTTCAGAAAGAGATTCAAGAACTCAAAACCCTAAAATTAACTCATCAGCCTTTTTACATGCACATGCCTGCATCGACTCTAACGATGTGTCCTTCTTGTGAGAGAATCGGCGCCGGTGGCGGTAATGGAGGAGGAGGTGGCGGCAGCGTGGCTACGGCGGTGGTTGTGGATGGAAGTACGGCCAAAGGAGCTTTCTCCATCTCCTCAAAGCCTCACTTCTTCAACCCTTTTACTAATCCATCTGCAGCTTGTTGAATAGTAGTAATTCGTTTTTTATTTATAACTTAAAATAATAATTTTTTTTTTTTTTGGTGGCAATTTAACTAGTAGGAAAAACACAAAAAACTATGTTAGAAAGAGTAAGATGCGTATAGATGGTCTCTTCTACAATTCCCACTTTGTTTTTCAGTGGGATTGTTGGTTTGGGAAAAAGAATAGTTTGTAATTATTGTTTTATTTGTAGAAAAAAGGTAAAATAGTCAAGTAAATCATGTTTGTACAATAAAATAAAAACTAAATAACAATATAAAATACATGAGAATTTTTCATGCATACTAATCAGCCGATGATTACTTTCATCTATGTGTTTAGATTTTATGGGGCTGTATTGGTCATAAGAAAAAGAAAAAATCTATAACGTATAATATCATATTTAAATGGGACTCAATTGATGTGGTGGTGATAAGCTACAAGTATAGTAAATTACAAATCTCAATCTAAAAGTTAAAACTTTATACGCTAAAATACGACATCTATCTAATATAATGGTAGGTCATATTTTACATCACACTAAACAACTATTAATGCAGTTTTCGTTTGATCTTTCCTATTATATTGTATGACCTTTCAAGCTTGTATAATGTTCATTGGATTATTTCTACAAAAAGAAAGAATCTTATATGGTATCATGTGAAAATATCTGATAATTAAGACTTTATCATAACAAACAAAAGTCTTATGAATTAGATTCATCATTCATCTAAACAAGGCAGTGGTATCAACTTGATTTGTTTTTCAACTCTTGAATCCAGAAACGGAAAGAAAAATTGATGGAAACTATGTTTTCCCACCAATAAATAAAAAGTTATACTAAACATATGGGAAAGTCACAACTTTGAAAAGGGTATATAATTTTAGTAGGACCAAACTTTTCTCTTTTGAGTAAAATCCAAAATTGAGTTGTGGAATCAGATTAACAATGCATTAAATTGATTTGATAGTAATTCTTTTTACTCAAAAATTATTTTATTTATGGATTATCCAAAGGGAAAGTTCAAACAAAATGGAAATTGGGTGTGAAGGATTTTAAGCGAGAGAGAAAAAGGGTGTGAGGTTTGGAGGTTAGCTCACGTGTATTGATGCATCACTTTAAATGAATTTTTTTTTATAATTAGCAAGAATTTTGTTTAAGAATAAATATGAATACAAAGATCACACAAACTATAATGATAATAGTTTTATTGTGTGTACTCAATATATACCTTTTATAAAAAGATTTAGTGGTTCACAATAATAGAGTGAATATTTTAACAAAAAAGAGGAGTAAATAAGAGCAATATTTTAGTCATTGTATTTAGGGTCCGTCGGCTAAAATATATAAAATCCAGAAACTGTAAACTGAAAATATTAATCATGGATTGAGTTATTTATCTGAATAAATATTTTCGAGAAGTTTTGTTTGTTGAGAAACATACGATCGTCTTACAAGTAGCCGAGTTTTATAACAATCAAAAAGCATACATAAATTGAAAACGAATAACAAAAACAAAAGAGGGTTGATTAAAAAATAACGATATTATATTTCTGTCGAAAAAAAAAAAATTACACCATCAAAAACAATAACTTGCCTATATATAGTGACAATTTGACATAGATATTAAGAATGAAAAAACGAACATTAAATTTAGAAGAGAAGTACCGTGAAGTCGCGAGATGCTTCATCTTAATGGTGTTAAGGTGGGGCTGGCTTCACGTGATTTTCTCTTCGAATTTTTCTCACGTACCATCTTATGAAGATATTGAGTTATATATGCAGCATTTTCATATAGTACCAACATTTTTTTTTTTTTTTTTTTTTTTTTTTTTTACCAACATTTATTATATACATGATTATATTAATGAATCTTTCAATTTCACTACGCTCTACGTACATCATCATGTCACATGAAACTCCATACTATGAGACATCTACGCAGCTACCTAGAACCTAGTTTATTAAACTCTTGGAATATATGCGGAAGATATATATGTACAAAGAATGCCATTGACATTTATTATTATTTTTACAAAATTTAAATAAAAAATATTAACCAAACAATATCTTGCCTAATTTGTTTCTAAAAATCTCTACACAATCTTTCCATATATCTTCAAAAACATTTATAGCAAATATTTATATTAACATTTTGCATAGCAATAAAAATACTAATTTATAATAATCAAAATATTCACATAGAAAAATCAAATACACATACAGGAAAAAGAACTATATCTATCATCATTTAAGCCGTTGTTTTATTTAAATTAAAAAAAAAACACAAAAACTTGAAATCATATACTTTATATGATAAATTTAAAATATATATTAGTAGTATAAATTTAAAATCGTTCAAAGAACGGTATACTACGGGTGAGATCCTAAAATTATTAGATTTTATAACAATAATAATTTATTTTCTTGGATTTTATAATACTAATAATTTAGCTAACGAGATAATATAGACGGGTTTATATGGGATGACGGGTTTGGGTCGATATTAATAAATAACGGTATATCACGGATGAAATCATAAAATTAACAATCAAAATACAATTATACAATCTTAAACACAAAACAAAAGAAACAATATTAACAAAACAAATCCCACTTAAATTTAAAATTTTTAGTTATAAAAAAACCGACCCACGGTATACTGCAGAGTAAAATATTCAAAATTTTAAAATCCACCATATATCGTTACTTAAAAAAAATGTATGTTTTCGTATCTATACTTCAAAAATTGATAGATAGATATCTACATTTAAAAATACAAATTAATATGATATATTTTCAGTTAATTTTTTAAAAAATAACATTACATTTTTTTAAAAAATATAGCGGGTTAAATTCTAGTATTTTACTCATATGATTAGATTACATTTATTTTTAAGTGACTGGTAACAACGCTAGTAATTATTGTGTTGGTGATTAAATTATTTGGAATCCCTATTAATGATTGGTAGAATTCGTTTACGTGTGCACGTACGTAATTAGCTTATTGAGAATAGCATCATACATGTGTCAATTGCTGGTTCAATTGTCGGTTTGTCGACTTCTTGTTTCGAACTTTTTTTCAAAAGACAGGAATATTTTTAATCACCAAGATTTGGTATAATATAACGGCAAACTAAAAAACAACTGGTCTAAATTTTATATAATTAACTTTGCTATATTATTAGTCGTTTACTATATGGATTTAGTATCAAATTAAGCCAGCTGCTTTGTACCCGCATGCGAATAAATATTCGAATTTTGAGGGATCGATTTCCAAAATAGACAAGTATAAAGTAGAGAACCAAATTCACAACGATTCTAATAAAACATCCGAACATTTAATCTCCGTTTTCAATGTCTAATCTCCTTTTAACTGCAGAAAATTTAGCGATCCGAATATTTTTAGGTCACAAACAAAAGAGATTTAACAGCCTGAGGATCGAGTCGAGCTCTCTTCACCTAGTCAGTAACACCAATTCAAGAGCAACCGTATCGAAAGTTCAATGCAACTTATTAGATATTTACAAGTTCTCTTTTGATTTTTCGACTATTTTCGCCATATTCCAAAAAAATTAAATGTGTTGCCTAAGAGATTCACTCAACGGATTTTAGATTTTTTATGAAGCAGACAATCCCTAATCTAAAAAGAGTAGGGAACCACCTGACCACTCAAAGCATCAAGGAAGAATACTACCAGTAGTTTCACCTGAAGTATCGCATTTTCTGAAAAACTTTTGACGTTTTAATCAAAAAAAAACTTCTAGAAAAAAACACGATTTATGAGGTGACTTTTTTTTCTTTCGAAAACTGGTATTTTTGCTAAAGAAAAAGAAATTCATTATGCGAATGGACACTCGTGTGTCGACGAAAATCCTTATATATTACTCTTGGAATTTTAAATTAAATACTATAATCTTATTTTTTATTTGCCTAAAAATGACACTCATATCGAAATGTAGAGAGTATTTAAAAAAGGTGCAAATTTGTACAGTGAGTTGATTAACACCTAGTTGATGTCAATGTGCGATTAATAGTACCCAAAAATAAAATAAAAGATATGGTAGATTTCAAGAAACACCAGATTGTGTTAGCTGGTTTGGTTACTTTACATAAATCTTGGAGCTTTCTCTTTTGGTACATTGTTACGTTTTGATTATGAGTTTCAAGAACAATGTCGAAGTAAGTGATATTTATGCTTGATAGGTTTTGTGGAGACTCGACTTTGGAGTTCAGTCATTGTAGGTTTTGAGAAATGAAGCTTTCTTAGTTTTGAGAAATGCAAGAAGAAAGGTTTAAAGCCAAAGCTCCAACCTTCACTTGTGCCATTTAGGTCTATTTCAAGAAGATGAATATTTTAGATATGTAGTCGAAATATATAGCTATTTTGTAAGATATGAAGATGTATTTGAAGATCATGCTTCGTTACTTGCAGATTGTATGATTTTTTGGAACAACACTAAGTTAGTAGAGAGGCACAATGTTCGGGTTATTAACTAGTACTACTCTACTATATTATTATGGAGAAAAGAGAAGATATTGTTTATTTGTTATATGCCAACCATGAACCATATAAGATCTCCCAAAAAAGTTAACTTATAGTTAATATGAAACTGGTTTATTTAGAAACCAGTTAGCTACTTTTACAGGAATCTTTTTTTACGATAAAAACAAAAACTCATCTTTATTAAATACTTAAACTTACATTTATTCTTCGAGATAAAGTTTTGAGCAAGTAATAGTAATTAAAGATTAGTGGTTCAGAAGAGAGGTTAATGGTGTTATTTACTGTAATTCCTTTTCTTATTTTTTTGCTTGTTATTCTGTGCAACATATTTATTTCAAGGCTCAAATCTTAATTTTTCTTTTTTACCTTTCATTGGTTTGCATAACTGAGTGTTTTTTCTCAACGAAACGCAGTAGTGTGACAAATCTCCTTCATATGACCAGGCTGAGGACTCTCAACGTACGTTTCAATGGCGAGTGTACTTTGGAAACTCTATCGTCATCTCTCAGTGAATTGAAAAACCTCGAGAAGCTTAGGTTATCTGATTTGTGCTAATTATATGTGGCTGATCATGGGAGAGGACTCGTTCTGGATTTTATTCATTTAAAGCATTTAGCCTTGACGATGCATATGCCAAGGTTTCCTGATCAATATCAATTCCCTCCCCACCTTTCACACATATTTTTATCCGAATGCCGCATGGAGGAGGATCCAATGCCGATTCTAGAAAAGTTGTTTCATTTGAAGTCGGTTGTGTTAAGATTTCGTGCTTTCGTTGGAAGGTGAATGAAGTGCTCAAAAGGCGGATTTTTTCAATTGTGTGAGCTAGTATTATTTGGACAATATAAGTTGGAAGAGTGGATAGTAGAAGAAGGGTCGATGCCATGCCTTTGTATTTTGACTATACATGATTGCAGAGTGTTAAAGGAGCTTCAGATCAATGTGTTTTTACTACATTTAAAAGTTCATGTTGTAAAGACTTTTACTACATTTAAAAGTTCTCACAGTTAATTATTTACCAATCAGACTTTTCACTCCTTTTTTTTCTCTACAGCTTTAACAGTCCATTATTTTTTCTCTCTCTTTAATTGCACTAGTTTTTTTAAAGTCTCGATAATGGGGCTTTACGTGGGCTGTAATATTTTTTCAATTAATTAAGTATTTCTTTTAAGATTATTTATCTTCTATTTATATATCACTTTTACTATTCATTGATTGTTCAATATAAAATATATATATATATATATATCCCTTAATAGAAACAACAATTCAACAAAAATAAAAACATTCAAAAAAATATACATTTTACTATTAATAGTGAAAATCAATATAAGAATAATAATCAATAAAGAAAATTCTACACAAAACAAATTAGCACATAATAGTGAATCATTAATCATTCAAAAATTAGAGAAAATCATAAATTTTAAAGCATACCAATACAAAAAAATATTCCAACAAATTTTATATCAAAATTAATACAACAAACTATTTTTAGAAGATCACTAACATTATAAATACAATGACCAATGGAGTTTTAACTTGCAAAACGAACAAGTACTATGATTTCCAAGTTTTTGTTAGCTTATCACACTTCTTATTTATGTTTTTAAGTACTAAATTTGGACATAAAATAAACAAATATAAAAAAAAATTTGTTTCAAATATTTATCTATTAGTTTATTTTTAAACTTTTTTTTTAATAAATCTTTTTGTTATGATATTAAAATAATATTCACAACTTTTACAGCCACAGCTTCTACAGTAGTGTTTACCAATTAGACTTTTAAAAATATTTTAAAGTTACAGCCACAGTTTTTACAGTCAAATTCTCTGCAGCCAAAAGTTTAGAGTAAAAGTCTATAGTAAAAGTCTTTACCAATCGGCCCCTTTGTTTGCCGTTGAAACTTTTGCAGCTAATCTTGTAGTGATGGATTAATAATGATTATTACTTATCTTTGATTGATCATCTATAGACTATAGTAGCATTTTTAGTTGTACGAGTTCACATAGAAAAAAAAAACAGAGATGTTTAAGCAAGCTCACTGCCAATATAAATTTTATAAAATCATGAATCCAAATATCTTTGGATTGGTTGTTTTTTTTCTTTTTCAAATAACTTAATACAAATATAAAATTAACAAGTAACTAGATCATGACCCGCACATACGTGCGGGGTTTCATATTTTTTAAAAAGTTCTAACAAATTTTATTTCAATATAGATTATTTCGTTGTTTCTATGATATATATTTTAGTGTATTAGATCTGAATTCACACGTACGTGCAGAGATATTTTTATAGAAATTGTTATATAGATTTTAAAAATATAAAATATTTTGTTGTGTTAGTGAAATTTATAATAGTATAAATATTATAAAATTAGAGTAATGAATGAAATTCAGTTGCGTTAGTGCATAGTTATATTTTAAGATCCGGACCTACACGTACGTGCGAAATTATATTTAAGATAAAACTAAGATATAATTTAGTTGCAAAAGTTAAATGATGTTACTTTTTTTTTTTTTTTTTTTTTTTTTTTTTTTTTGGACAAACTGAAATTTCATTCAAACTAGAAGAGTTTTGCCTCTATGAGAAGAGGATACAAAAGGCTACTAAGAGCCAAACAAATCAAGATAACGACTAATACGTTAGTCGAGCAATTGAAAAAGCTTAAACAAAAGCAATAACTCAAAGAGAGACATAAGGATAGAGGGGAGCAAACAAGCTCAACCCAAGAAGCAACCAAACCAAGACAACCGAATTCAGCACCATCCTTTGCTTCCAAGGAGGCCTTCAAGCCACGATCTACCGCTAGGAACGCGAACGTGACATTACGACGGACAAATCCATCGAAAAGGGGAACTTCAATGACGATCGAGAACCACCGACCCATATCACAAAGAGATGAGAAAGTGAGCCTAGCTTCACCGAAGAAGATCTTCTTCCCTACAATAAATCTCTTTCCACCAAAAGGGGCATTTGAGAGGATATAAAACTCCATAAAGGAGTAAACATGACAAAGAATGTCAAACCACAACCAAGGCAAACTAACCATGGAAGCCTTGTCTGCTACGAACACAAATCCATCGAATGAGGCTTCCGATTCCATTATCTAACCAACAAATCAAATAGATTGTAGGGACAGAGCTTAAAAATCCAGAATCAAACCTGGTAGGGACGTGAGCCGGATCAAAACCGGAATAGAGCCTGCATACTGCAGTAAAGGGGTGCCGGATGGCAAAGGGAATAACCCAAGCGGATCCAACGGAAGGTGACAAGGCACCCAACAAAGCCACTAAAGGGAAAAAGCTCAGATCTAAACACTTAGAAATCTGACTTGACGGAGACAAAGAGGGGACGAAACAAACCGAGAAGGACCACGAGACCACACCGGCGGAGGTCTGTACTAGCGAGGGATCGGGAGGGTCTGGAGGTTCGGGCGGATCCGGTGGAGAAGGATGAATCAGCGACAAAGCCGATAGCGGTGGACGCCTCAGTCTTACACAAGCACCTAGATCGTTTGGAAACGAAAGAGAAGGTCGCAGAGAAGCCGTAGTCGGAAGTCGAGCCATTTGAACAGAAAAAGGAACCACGCCACTAGAAGCGGAAGCACTCCGGAAAAAGCCGGAAAAAACGCCGGAAAGGACTCCGATAACTGATGAGAATGGCCTGAAAGAGTGAGAGCCGTCGCCGATTAGGAGAGGGGTACGCCGGAGGAGCTTTGTAGAGGAAGAAAAGCCATCTCCGAAATCAAGCTAACGGCGCCTCGAAAAGCGTGTCTGAGAGAGAACTTCTCTAGGGCGAACTCTTTTTACTTTTTTATTTTCTAAACTAATCAAAACATTTCTAATAGTTTGATTACATGTGTTAAATAGGATATAGATTCGGTTTGAGTTTGGTTATTTCATGTATATTAGCTAGGGGTAACTATTTTAGAACGGAAAACCTATCCCGTCCTGTATCTGTCATCAATTCTTGGTCCCATAACCCGTCTCGTATACGTGAAATAAAAATATGACGGTCCAGTATCCGGCATAAATAGAATATGTGAAACTGAAAACGTACGTACAGGGTTATATATGTAAACAAATTTATTTTATATAGTGCTCATAACCTGAACTCATACCAATTGGGTATTTACAGTAAAATCTCTAAAAATTAATAATATTGGAACCATGATATTTTATTAATTTATAGTGAAATTAATTTATCTATAAATTAATAATTATTAATTTATAGAAAGTTTTGTTTCAATTGTGAATTTTTTTTAAAAAAAATACGTGCTAAAGCAATGTGAAATAAATAAAATTAATGTTTTGGATGTTATAAATTTTATAGTTTTAGTCTTAAATATTTTATATTTTAAAGAGAAAATAACTTATTTTGACAATGAATAACAATAAATATAGAATTCATATATACAAACGATATACATAAATTAAAATTCACAAATAGTGACATCCATTGTTGTATTTTAAAACCTATACGACTATTAAAACAAAAAGTATGCATATTCAGAATTTGAAAACTTACAAAAGCTTTTGGCTATTTTTATGAAAAACACTAAAACTATTATGTATACATATATATGTATGTGCAAATTTACATGATTATTAATTTATGATATTATTGGGACTATATTTTTACATAGGGATTTCAAACAACTTATTATCTTATTATCTTATCGAATTTGGTTAATTTTTACATTGGCCCGACTCGGGACCGACTAAATTTATTAATTTATCGTGTTTATTAATTTATCGAGTATTAATTTATAGAGGTTCTACTGTAGTTTGATTTTTAATTTATGTTCCCCTCTCATCCCGTCTCGTAATTCCTATTCTCATTTCATTCCATTAAAATCATGTTCCAAATTCTTGTTTGCTTACTTTTAAATACCATACAATACATACTGTGAGTTTTACAGATTAATATATATGCTGCTAAAGTTACAAATATATTTTAACAAATTTATTAATGTTTCTTTCCTTATCTAAATTTTGCATATTCTTCTTTTTATTGTTTAATCATAATTAATTTGGTTTTTGGACTAAAATAAAAATTTGAGATACATCTCTAAAAGAGATATGCTATTGCTGCATAATTTGTTTTGAATTCAAAATATATAATTAGTTTACATTATTTGAAAACTATGTACAATATATTAGGGATTTATTTAAGAAAGATCCGGTTGAAAAATAAAAAATAAAACGCAAAATAATTTAGAAATTAATATATACAATCTATTGTTAGATATTTATCAAACTTGTTCTAAACGAAGGCTATAATGATAATTACTTTAAATTTATTATTATTTGAGTTTATTTCATCATAAATATAAATAGTTGTTAATATCTAATATCGTATTTTAGAAATTGTGAAATAAAATTTTGTTTTATATTTTAAAATTTGTGAAAATATTATAACAAAACTGAATCTTAAAATATTTGTATTTAATTTTCTTACGAAATTTTAAATTTAATCTTAAAGTCCTCCATTGATAAATCTTTTAAGCGATAGTGTTTTTAATTTTGAATTAAAATGATATTATTTTTATTTTTATTTTTGATTTAGAATAGTCTATTACGATTGGTTTAGATAAAATCTTAGTTGGATATCAAATCTTAGTTTTTCAATTCTTATTGGTTAACAATTTTTTTAAAATTAATTTCAAATTTTCGTTTATAATTAATAAGAGAGAGAAAATTAGTTTATTTTTTTGGAAATTAATAATTATTTAAAAGAATTAAACTATTTTTTATTTAAATATATTAATTTTGTGATTACTATTGTACCCTTAATGAAGTTATTTAAAAACACTAAAAACCAATGTCATTCCCTTGTAATTTTTTACACTTTTTAAGGTTGTTTTTCAGGGAACGCTTCCCAATTAATAGTATATATAACTTTTACCTTTTTTGTTGTAGAAAAAACGAAATATTAAACAAATAATACGTGTAACGCGAGATGGAACACTTCAATCGTATTTGGCGTTGAAGGGCTTTCTTGGCTTCACGATTATGACTTATGAGGCCGCATTCATTAATTTCATGTTTCTTTCTTTTTGCTAGTTGTTTTCAAACATTAAAAAAAAATTGTCGGTGTCACAAAAACGATGACGTTTAAGCAGATTCACATGTCATCTTCCAAGTGTTAAGCTCTCTTAATTTAAAAAACTAATTTTTCTCTGCAATTTGCTTTTGATTCCAATTGAAGGGACGCACGATTTTAATGGCAGTTTAACGGGAACACTACTCTCCCTCTCTCTCTCTAGATCCCAAAAATCAAAATCTTTCCTTTATCAAAAATTCTTCATCTTTCTATTTTCCCAGAAATAAAAAGCTCTCTTGATTTGCTTTTCCTGGTAAAGTTCCCATTTTTATGTACATTTTGTTTCAAAAATTGAATTTTTAGGGTATTATTTGCTTTAGATCTGATCTGAGAAATTTTGGGTATTGATTGATTTGTTGGAATTTAGGTTTTGAGGAAGTATGTTTAGATCATCACCAAGAAGAGGACAGAGATCAAAGGGTTTCAAGGTTAAGCATTGTATTCAATTGACTTTGTTACTTAGTGTTGGAATATGGTTGCTTTATCAAGTTAAGCATTCTCATGAGAAGAAATCTCAGTTTGAGCAAAGTGCAAAGATTGTTGTTGATAAAGTTGTGAAGCTTGGTAGGAAAGATCTTATCCCTCGTGTTGTTGAAGATGAAGCTGAGGATGAAGGAAGTAGGAATGTTGTTGAGAGTTTTAATGGCGGTGGTGATGATAAGGAGAATGAGATTGTAGAAGGAGGTGAAGAGAGTAAGGAGAAGGAAAGTGAAGGGATTGTGTTGAATAGTGAGGTTGAGGAGAAGAGAGATAATGGTGGTGGTGCGGAAGAGAGTGAGGTTGAAGAGAATAGAGATAATGGCGGTGGTAGTATGGAAGAGAACGAGAAGAGTGGGGCTGAAGAGAGTGAGGTTGAGGAGAGAAAAGAAAATGGCGGTACGGAAGAGAGTGAGGTTGAGGAGAGGAAAGACAATGGCGGTACCGAAGAGACTGAGGTTGAGGAGAGGAAAGACAATGGCAGTACAGAAGAGACTGAGGTTGAGGAGAGGAAAGACAATGGCGGTACTGAAGAGAATGAGGAGAGTAAAGAGAAGAGTAGTACCGAAGAGAGTGAGGTTGAGGAGAAGAAAGAAAACCGAGTTACAGAGGAGAGCGAAGAGAGTAAAGAAAAGAGTGGTACCGAAGAGAATGAGGTTGATGAGAAGAAAGATAATGGAGGTACAGAAGAGAAGAAAGACAATGGTGGTACCGAAGAGAGTGAGGTTGAAGAGAAGAAAGAAAACGGAGGTACAGATGAGAGCGAGAAGAGTGGTACAGAAGAGAAGGATATAGATGAGAAAGCGAATATTGAAGAGGCAAGAGAGAATAATTACAAGGGAGATGATGCTTCTAGTGAGGTAGTCCATGAGTCTGAGGAGAAGACTAGTGAGTCGGAGAACGGTGAGAAAGTGGAGGACAAGTCGGGTATAAAGACTGAAGAAGTGGAAGATTCTGTTATCAAGAGTGTTTTGCCTAACACAACCGATAATGGGGAAAGCAGTAGTGATGAGAAGACTGGTTCATCCTCAGGTCATGAATCCGATTCCTCGGAGGGAATAAAATCTGAGGGTGAATCTATGGAGAAGAATGAGTTGTTGGAGAAGGAGTTCAATGATTCTAACGGTGAGTCTTCTGTGACCGGGAAATCTACGGGTTCTGGAGATGGAAGTTCTCAGGAAACTAGGAAAGAAGAAGATGGGAAAGAGAAGGTAGAATCTTCTGAAGTGTCATCTCAAGAGGAAAGTAAAGACAAGGAAAGTGAGACCAAGGAGAAGGAAGAATCTTCGTCTCAAGAGGAAAGTAATGAGAAAGAAACCGAGACAAAGGAGAACAAAGAGGATTCGTCTCAAGAGGAAACTAAAGACAAAGAAACCGAAGCGAAGGAGAAAGAAGAGTCTTCATCACAAGAGAAAAACGAAGACAAGGAAACTGATACCAAGGAGAAAAAAGAGTCTTCTTCTCAAGAGAAAAACGAAGACAAGGAAATTGAGAAAATAGAGAAAGACGAGTCTTCGTCCCAAGAGGAAACTAAAGAAAAAGGAACTGAGACAAAGGAGAACGAAGAGTCTTCGTCTCAAGGGGAAACTAAAGACAAAGAAAACGAGAAGGTTGAGAAAGAAGAGTCTTCGTCTCAAGAAGAGACTAAAGACAAAGAAAACGAGAAGATTGAGAAAGAAGAGTCTTCTTCCCAAGAGAAAACTGAAGACAAGGAAACCGAGACAAAGGAGAAAGAAGAGTCTTCATCTCAAGAGGAAACTAAAGACAAAGAAAACGAGAAGATTGAGAAAGAAGAGTCTGCATCGCAAGAGGAAACTAAAGACAAAGAAACCGAGACAAAAGAGAAAGAAGAGTCATCGTCCAACGATTCACAGGAAAATGGAAGTACTGAGAGTGAGAAGAAGGAACAAGTTGAGGAAAACGAGAAGAAGACTGACGAAGACACAAGTGAATCGAGCAAAGATAATAGCAACTCCGATACTGAACAAAAGCAATCAGAGGAAACATCAGAGAAAGAGGAAAGCAACAAGAATGGTGAGACAGAGGTAACTCAAGAACATCCTGATTCTTCTACGGATACTAATCTTCCTCAAGAAGTAAAAGATGTTCGCACCGATCTTGAAACTTTACCGGATTCTGGTAATGGAGGGAGCAATGAGAGTGTTGCGGCTGAGTAAATCTCCTCTGGTTGATCAAATTCTCTCATTTGATGTTGTTTAGTAGAGAGTTTTACGAATTGAATTTGTGTCATTGTAAGTTGTTGTAATCTTTTTCTTAACATATTATGGGTTGTTCTCATTCCCAGAGCATAAGTTATAGCTTTTCTTTTGTACCGAACACATGATTATTTTTCTCTTTAAACAAATTCTTTTTTTTTGATAAACTTGCATTCATCGATCACAAATTCTTTTTAAACAAATTCTTGAAACTTCGTTATCTCATGAAAATAAAGATTTTTGTTAAACAATTTAATTTATGCTTTAAAGATTTGATAATTTTCAGCTAACACATAAATTTACCAATTTACAAGAACTACAATAAATAAATATCCCAACTGATGAATTTTAGCTCATCAAACGATCATAAAGCAGCAAATGCCTCAACGTCGTCACTTCGCGTTTCTGGTGATCTTCTTCCTCCGTACACGTGTCTTCATCTCCTACGTCCATCCCCTCACCGCCAAACGCGTACACCACATCCCGCGATTGCGTTTGCTGCGTAGTACACGTGTCTCGATCTTCGCCGTTCATCATCATCATATCGCGAACCTCATCTTCCGTCCATCCTCCTTCCCTCAGCTTCCAAAACGCATCGTCCAAACACTCCCTTAACCCTTCAAAACCCAACGCGCTCCACCAATCGCGCGTGGTATCACGCGCCACCACAAATTTCCCTCGCTCCGCCACATCACTCCAAAACTCCACTCTCCTTCGTCGTCGATCCTCCGTCTGCGTTTCCGAACGACCGAGTCCCTTGAGGAATCCGGCAACGTCGCAACTCAATTCCCTAACTCCGTCGCCGTCGATTTGGAAAACTGGATTTCCCGCCAAATTCGGCGTCGTAGAAGGGACGTAGAAATCGCCGAACACGGGGACGAGAACCGGAGCGATCTCAATCAATTTCTTCACGAGCAATAAAGCCTCCGAGTCGTTTCCGGGTCGGATCCCCCAAGAATCGACCCAGAATCCGTTTCTGACGACGATTTGAGACAGATTAAGAAGTGGGAGAAGGAGATGATTCCGGTTCGATCCGGTTTGCCAATTGGGAAAATTGGTACCAACCGGAAGACCGGTTTGAAGAATCGAACGGAGATCAAGAGGGAAAGAGAAACCAAGAGAGGATTCAACGGCTGAGATCTCTTGATTGGTAAGCCCAGGTGAAATGTGGATACCGGTTTGAGATTTCAAATGGTTAATTATGGTTTTGTAGTAAACCGGAGACGGTGGTTTAACGGAGGAGGAGCGAATTGGATCTGTAGTAATGTGGCCAAGTGGGCTCATTATTCCGGCGAGACGATGATTCATGTTTAGCTTCTTTGTATTATAGTTTTAGCTTAATACTAGTCAAAAGAGATTATTAATAATATATAGTGGAGAATCAAATCTATTTCTTGATAGAACCAATTTTGGAAATTATATGAAACGATTTTAGAAAGTTACGTAATAATGGAAACATTGGGAATTTATAATATTACGTTGAAATAGATTAAAGGAAATTAAAAACGTGTACGTAGACTATTAATTTACTAGCTAGGTTTTGAATTAAAATTACACTTCTGAATCTTACAGCAAATTTTAGCTGTAAATTTTACATTTAAAAGATTTATTTTATTTTCAACTTATTAATGTAAGAATCTGAAAGTTGAATATTTGGAAAGCAATCCTAGTGAAATGTAACAATTAAGGGAAGTACTCAAATGACTATAGATTTTGAAAATCTTGCACTAAATCTATAGATTATTGACTATTTATGATAAATGCCAAGCAATGAGTCACAATTACGCTAATATGTAGAGAAGATTTTACAAGGTAACCTGCAATTCTTTCATGCTAATATATTATTTTAAGAGAATTCACAATTTTTTCAAAACTAAATCTAATATAATAAAGATCAGATATCAAAGAAAAGATTTTAAAATAGTCCATGAAAAGTAATTCACGGTCTATGAACTCGATCTTGCCATTTACTAAAAAGAAAATGTTATCAAAGTTATACATAAATTTGAATTTAAACGTGAAATTTGTTATAAGTTAAACAAATGATATAAACCTTTTGGTGTTTCAAAATACTCATTAGGTAGGATTTTATAAGTTGAATAAATGATATAAACCTTTTGGAGTACTGATTAGGTAGGATTTCAGACAGGCGATTAAAAGTTAATCTTCCTTTTTGGATTTTATTTGTTTATTTTAATTGAGAGATTCGATCTGTTTAGCTTTTGGTATCCAAAATATTAGTCATTGAAGACAGAATGTGTCGGCTTTGAGTATCATGGGTTAGTTTTGTCTTATGTTTTTATTTGTGATTTCGCTTTTGCAGTGGAAATGGGGATATGCCCCATATAATTAAAGAAAGACCTTGATTGTCTCTTTATTAGATAGAAAGTAAAATTCATAGGTCTGTATTGTGTCATGTTAATAAATCCCAATAACTAAATTTTAGTCCACAGATTATTATCACTTCATTTCAGACAAATAATAAGCTGGATCACGTAATTTGCTGATACTCATAATTTTTGCGGATACTTGATGTGACGAATATTTGTTTTGGGCGGATCAAATAAAAGCACTATATGTAGTTACTAGAACGAACAAGTAACAAGTATAACTGATTTTTTTATAAGAAAAGAATGTTTTCTCATTTATATGGGAGCCAAAACTCAAAAGCATTGATTGCATAAGGAGACACTACTAAAGCAAACAAAATGCGAAATTAGAAGGACAAACACAATTTCAAACCATGGCAAAGTCTCTCAAGACAATTTATCCACAATTCATCGATAATATGTTCGCACAACTACCGAAATATATCAATATATAGACCTAAATATCTTTAACGTAATTGACCCTGCTCCAGTCGACGCTTCTCTGAAGCTTGCCACTATCATCAGTCATAGTGGAAGACTACCACATGTTCATCTTTGAAGGAGAAATTACATGCCTCCCAAAACTTGGAGACGAGAGAGATTATGGAGAAATCAGAGCCTTAGACCATGCACACCAGTGAATTTTTCTCAGTATCATTAACCCAAAAATGATTTTATAATGGACAAAAGCACCTAATTGGGCCTGATACGTATCAGTGGACCGATATTTGTGATACTCAGTATCGTGTGACGTGTCAGTTTCCCATTGGACCCGCGAATTTTTTTTTTTTTTTGCAATACAGAAAGAAAAAAAAAGGGTGATTTGCAAAAGTAGCCAATTTTGATAAACTATTTAAGGATATAGCACCATCAAATCAAAAATTAAGTAAGTAACACCTTAAGAAGATGAAATGTCCATAAACTCCCTACACTCACACTCAGCTTTTGGACGCGCTGGTGAATATGGGCTGACGTGGATTAGGAGCACCTTTCCTTTTCTCTTTTCACAAAATAGAATAGTATCAGAATCATCGGAAGTAAAGTGACGGCAAATCGATGACAGTGATACAAAGGGATTTAGGGTTTTCAATGGGTAGCAAGGAATAGGAAGAAGAGATGAGATCCTTGGTGAAGCTATATAATCTAGCATTTGTGGTAGATGAAGAAGGGACAATCGAGTGGAAGAAACAATGTGTTAGGCAACAAATAGAGGAGAGATAAGCAACAGATAGAGCCATAGAGGAGAGAAAAAAAAAAGGTGTGCATTTTACACAGGACAAAACTGTCATTAATACAGAAAATACATAGAATATCAACTCCTTTTTTGTTTGATGTTAGTTTTTTAATTTATAAATTTTTGTTGGTTATCTATGCAAATTTCCCAAAAAAAAATCATTTCTGGAAACTCTGCCGATTCTTCTTCGATCCCTACTCTCCTCCGCGATTTCTTCTTCGATCCATTTCTTCTGTGTAGATTCGATCTCATCTCTCCTCCGCCGATTCTTCTTCGATCCATTTCACCTCTCCATTTGATTTTCTGGTCTATGTCTTTCTCTGATTTGATTTTGATTTGAAGAACGGTATGAACTTTGGTTTCCTTTTACCTTAGATGCTTTGGTCTCTGTCTTTCTCTGTTACATAACGAATTTGGATTTGAAAGCTTGCTTCTTTATATATATGTTGCTCGTTCTGATATAGCTGATGGAATAATTTGTTTAGTTTGTTTGTCTCATGAACGTTTAAGGTCTCTTTGTTCTTTGGTTTGGGAATATCGTTTAACTTGATATGAAATGTATCACAGCTGGTAATTGTAAAGCAAATAGGCGTTATATATATCTGTAACCATCATGAGTTCTTATTGTAGTAAATTTATAGTGTGAGGCAATGCCACATATGTCTATGATTGAAGTCTTGCCAAAACTGGAAAAGTCAAGCATTTGAATTTCTTGGTCTATGCAAAAGTCGTAGCTAAATATATATGGTTGTCTTTAATGTGATTGAGGATGTGATTACTTTGTGATTCATGTGATATTTTGCAGGTTTCTGTTGGAAACGGGTGGGTACTCTTGATGACAAGTTCAGTGCTTATTGGAGGGTATGTAGCTCTCTACTTTGCAGTCTGTGGCATTCCCTCTACCTGCAAGAGTGAAAAAAATCACAGAATTGGTGTAAGTGAGACTTTATTAACACATCTTCTGACCTGCAAAGTATCATTAACACATCTTCTGACCTGCAACAACAATAACTTTCAAGAACCAGATAATGAAGTGGAAGATGATGAATCTTTCATTGACATGGTGTCTTTCTATTGGAGTCTTGCTGCAGCCTATGTGACAATACTTCTTGGGATACTCGCATCTCTCTCATTTGATTTTCCTTGGAGCAGAGCGTGGTTCTACATCGTATATTCTTTCATCCACAAGGTTAAGAATTTGTTTAGTAAAACACTGTAGGTGCCAAATTCTTCTTATGTCCTAGTTTCATTCTCGTCCCCATCTGTTGTTGTTTTCTTCTCATACCTCTTTGGTTTTAAAAAAACCAGACTCCTTACTGTCTTTTGTCTTTGAATAAATGTAATGCCTTAAAACAAATATGAATTCAATGTTCTAGTTATGCCACATGTTGGATTCTGTCTACATAATTAACACCAATGTGAATAATAAAATTTGAAACTACACACCAAAAATTGCAGATACTACAAGTTTCTTGAATTTGTCATCAATCACAGAAAGGGGTTATCAAACAAGCAAGAAATATGCATCAGACAAATAAAATGGTTTTGGAGGAACCAATATCTAAGTTTCATCAACTCATTAAAAGACATACCACAACATATAGATTTTCAATGGAGCCAAGGTAATTGACTACAAGCGACTAAATTATTTTTATCATCATGTTTTTTTCAGTTTTTTTTGAATTTTATATTTTATTTTGCTTAAGTATATTCTACGTTTTTTTATTGTAATATTACCTTTTGTAATCTTATGTTTTAATATATTAATTTTTGACTTTACAAATTTTTTTTTTTATGATACTTAAACCGGTCTCACCAATGCAAACATATTTAGTAGGAGTATCATAAAAAATCTCAAACAATAAACAAACATTATAAATATTACTAAAAAATTCCTAATGATACTACAGTAAAACCTCTATAAATTAATAATGTTGGGACCATGATATTTTATTAATTTATAGTGATATTAATTTATCTATAAATTAATAGCGTAAATTAATATTTATTAATTTATCTATAAATTAATAGCGTAAATTAATATTTATTAATTTATAGAAAGTTTTGTTTCAATTGTGAAAACTTTTTTAAAAAAATACGAGTTAAAGCAATGTGATCTAAATAAAATTTTATGGTTTGGATGTTATTAATTTTATAGTTTTAGCCTTAAACACTTAATATTTCGAAGATAAAAATAATTTATTTTGACAACGAATAACAATGATTATAGAATTCACATATACAAACGATATACATTAATTAAAATTCACAAATAGTGATATCCATTGTTGTATTTTAAAAACCTATACGACTATTAAAACAAAAATTATGCATATTCACAATTTGAAAACTTACAAAAACTTTTGGCTATTTTTATGAAAAACACTAAAACTATTATATATATATATATGATATTATTGGGACTATATTTTTACATAGGGATTTCAAAAAACTTATTATCTTATTATCTTATCGAATTTGGTTAATTTTTACACTGGCCCGACTCGGGACCGGCCAAATTTATTAATTTATCGTGTTTATTAATTTATCGAGTATTAATTTATAGAGGTTCTACTGTATATACATGCTCTTACATGTATTTTTTCTAGGGATAAAAAGCAACAAAATGTTGTAGAAGTCTGTAAGACCCAAAACCACCCAATGAGCCAGCATTTCCCTAACAGGCCCATAAAAACTTTAGGTTTGTGGCCTAACATTGTTTTGGGCTGGCTTTGAAAGCAAACAGAACAAAGCAGTCAAAGATTTTACAAAATTGATTGGAATAAAATTATCTTTAATCTTAAAGATTTGGTTAACTTGAATTGTACCGGAAACTTGTACCGGAATTTTCGTACCGGCTTCCTAAAATAGGAAATGTTTGTATTAAGACCATCATTAACGCTACAACACAGCTGTGTTCTTAAGCTTTAAAAAATAGAAATAAATTGGAATAGTAGATTTGGATCCTGAGAACTGCTCTTGCCCAAGAACAGTTTTAAGCCCAGTTGCGGCTCCACGTGACACAACAGGATTGGCTGCGAATTTTGTAAATGAAAAAAAGGAGATTATCGATGTTGCTGTTGTTTCCATTGAAGGAGCTCATGGTTGATTACGAATCGATCTTCTTCTTCCTCCTCCTACGATTTCGTCTTTTACCCTAATTCTGAATCGATCTTCTTCTTCTTCCTCCTCCTAAGATGAATCTACACCTGATTCTGAACTCGTTAAGCATCTCAAGAGTATTATCAAGGTAACTTCGAAATCGGCGGTTGAACGATGCGGCGTCGTATCTAACGGTGCCGGAGCTTGAGCACGGGTTTTCTCCGGATCAGATTCGTTATAGTCGCCAACTGTTACTTCCTTCGTTTGCTGTTGAAGGTACTTTGCTCAAATTGCAACTCTTTTCACCTTCTCGTTTCTCATTGAATTGATTTCAATTTGAATTTTTTAGCCAATAGGATGGATAATTCTTAGTTAATGATCATGGAGCTGAAAGATGAAAACTTTATTTTTGGTTTTTTTTTTTTTTTTTTCCCTTTGATTACATTTGTGTAATTTACTCATGTATAAGAAATTTGACTTCATTTGTATGAAATCTGAATTGATTGTTTCATCTGCTAGTGTCTTCCCCAAATTGATTCTTCCTTTTTGTTCTAAGTTTGTGTGTGTATGATTTTAGGGCAGTCAAATCTTTTGAAGTCTTTGGTGTTAGTTATTGGAGCTGGAGGTTATATGTGACTTTGATCCCATTAATAGTGTATTCAACATCTAGCCCTGAAATCTCCGGTATGCAGATAACACATTCCATCTCTGTTATTTGCTTGAATTTGATTTGTAGCTCTGTTATTTGCACAGAGATGTTGAAGCATTGTTTGTGTCTCATAACGCCAATGATCTCTATGTTTCATTCTCCAAGTCCAAATTCAATCTTGCAAGCTACCCAAAGAGGTTTGCCTTTTCTCTTGTTTCATTCCTTTTTCTTTGGAGTGTATCCATCTTTGCATTTAAGAAACTACTCATTTAGAGAGGATTCTTCCACATCTTCTGTTGGACAATTTTAAGGTATGATTGACAATAGCACAGGATTGAGTAGTGATCAAGAAGAATTTGATCAAGCTAATGGAGAAAGGATGTAATTGATGTGGGAATTGAATTCATTTCTCCTTTAGTATTGAATTCTTTTTTCCTTTAGAATTGTATTCATTTCTTCTTTAGTATTGTGATGCAAGTAAACTTTACTTGTTAACATATAAATTTTCAAAATTTTAGTTTAGTTTTTAATGTTTTCAATTTTTAAAATAATTTTTGTAATTTTAAAAAAACATTTAAAGTTTTTGATTATTAAATTATTAATTCATAAGATCTAATCATGTTCTACCAATAATCACTTACTTTACAAAAGATCTTAATTAAAGCTCTTATAATATTTTAATATTATTTTACCCTTAAGATCAATCTTCAAAGATGCACCCTTGCATATGCTCTAAGAAGATAGATAAAGCTCTATTCTTGCCACGCTTCCCAATACATGGATCCATTTTGCTGACGTCATCTTCATCTTCATCATCATCATCATCATCATCATCATCATCATCTTCAATCACACTATATCTCTCTATTATATAAACTCTTCGTACCCTTTTACCGATTCGTCGCCGTGATCGCTTAATCAGACCTCAATTTCGGTGTTGAAGCAGCTATGGATCCAAACCAACGTATCGCGAGAATCTCTGCTCATCTCAATCCTCCTAATCAGGTTCAAATTTCGTTGAATTCTCTGATTCTTAAGCAATTTTAGTGATCAAAGTTTGGTTTTTTTTTTGTTTGGTTTGATCTGATTTCGATGATTTGGGTTTAGATTGCTGACGGGTCGGGTTTGAATCGGGTGGCTTGTCGGGCAAAAGGTGGATCACCTGGATTCAAAGTGGCGATACTTGGAGCAGCTGGAGGAATTGGGCAACCTCTAGCGATGTTGATGAAAATGAATCCTTTGGTTTCGGTTCTTCATCTTTATGATGTTGCTAATGCTCCTGGTGTTACCGCAGACATTAGTCACATGGACACCAGTGCCGTTGTAAGTTTTTCGATTCGAAAATTAGTACTTAGATGATGGTTTGACAGATAGAGCTAAGAAAATTGAGCACTAGTGATGATTGTTGTTGTTGTTAATATAGAGAAATGAGCTCAAGATCATATACATGAGTTTGTTGTGAATGTTTTTGGGTAAATTTGTTTTAGGTTCGTGGATTTCTCGGGCAACCGCAGTTAGAGGAAGCACTTACGGGGATGGATTTAGTGATTATACCTGCTGGTGTTCCGAGGAAACCAGGGATGACGAGGGATGATCTGTTTAACATTAATGCTGGGATCGTGAGGACACTCTCTGAAGCTATAGCTAAATGTTGTCCTAAAGCAGTTGTGAATATAATCAGTAATCCGGTGAACTCCACGGTGCCAATCGCAGCTGAGGTTTTTAAGAAAGCTGGAACCTTTGATCCAAAGAAACTCATGGGAGTCACTATGCTTGATGTTGTTAGAGCTAATACTTTTGTGGTATGCACTAATAATTCGCTCTTTGATAGCTTTATAGGAAGCAAATGATAACTCGGTTAATGTCATGGGCCTAGAATGGTGTGTACTATTGGCTATTAGAACTCAACTATCTTCTTCTTTGCATTTATGGTTTTAAATAGGCAGAAGTAATGAGTCTTGATCCCCGTGAAGTTGATGTTCCGGTTGTTGGAGGACACGCAGGAGTTACAATTTTACCGCTGCTTTCTCAGGTTTGAGATCAGATGATTCACATGGAAGTCATCTTTCTGTTTGTTTGGAGTAGATATTCTATTCTCATCATCATATCTGTTACAGGTGAAACCCCCTTGCTCATTCACTCAAAAAGAGATTGAATATCTCACAGACCGCATCCAAAACGGTGGCACTGAAGTTGTTGAGGTATAACCATTATTTCTGCTTTCTTTGTTACTAAATTCTAATCAAGCGGTGTGTTTACCTTTTAAATCATTTTGCAGGCTAAAGCTGGTGCAGGTTCTGCAACGCTATCCATGGTAGGTCTTTTATTGTACCATGGGCAGTTTATGACAAATCCGGGATTTTGATTTATATTTTAATCTATTGAATGATAAACTACAGGCATATGCAGCAGTGGAGTTTGCAGATGCTTGCCTCAGGGGTCTACGAGGTGATGCAAACATCGTTGAGTGCGCATATGTGGCATCCCATGTACAGTCCTTAAAATCAACTGTACATAATTATAACTGTAAAATATTTCTTAACCCTAAAAGATGAACATATGGACTTTGTCTTATTCCTCATACAGGTGACTGAGCTTCCCTTCTTCGCATCGAAGGTGCGTCTGGGACGATGTGGGATCGACGAAGTGTACGGTCTTGGACCATTGAACGAATATGAGAGGTAAAAGCTGAAGTCTTGATCGACCTGATATCTTGAATTATCTTCGACCTGTTCGTATGTTCATATCCCTTTTCCGCTCTTTGTTTTTGCTAATTGATCAGGATGGGATTAGAGAAGGCAAAGAAAGAGCTTTCAGGAAGTATTGAGAAAGGTGTTACCTTTGCGAAGAAATAAAGAGACTGATCGTGAATAAACACTTAAGTGATGGTTTTGGAATAGTGATAGTTTTTGAATAAGAACAACGCATCGCAGTAAAAGCTATAGCGGGTTTTCTGGGATCTGATCCTAAAAGGTTCAAGAAACTCATCTCCTCTAGGTAAAATCTTTGATTGTTTTATCGTTCCGTCGAATCACTCTGTTCTTAGATACGAGAACGGTTATGATTTATGGACTTGGGTTATAAAAGTGAGAACAGAGCAATAATCTTGCGACATTTTTTCTCATCTTCTTGGTATGTTTCGTCAATTGTTTTTTTGTTTTGTTTCATATTCAAACATTTATAAACCAGAAGGTTAAGTTAAAACTGTGGAACGATGGAAACAACGGCTACGTTTTAGCTAAATAGAGTTTCCGTATCAAGTCATCTGCGTTCATCTAAGTAACTTCTTAGGTAGCGGAAACGATTTAGGTGTTAATGTGTTATGTTTAGACTACTATATAATGTAGCACCTCGGTGCGTTCCTACCGGGGCCGACCGGACAGCCGATAGGGTATATCAAAAAAAAAAAAAAAAAAAAAAAAAAAAAGATGTTTGTAGATAGTTAAGATCTCTTAAAGAATATCTTCTTGGATCGTTTTTATGAGACATCTAGTGAGATATTTATAAAGTTTACTTCAAGTGGGTTTAGATAAGTTAAGGAGTAGGTAAACTACTAAACTTGGGCCATAACACTTTCTAATGTTTCTTTTGATATGTATAGTAGTTCTTATTTATTTCAATGCTCAATAAGTGTAATATAATGTATTTTTATAGAAAAGGGTGTTACGATACGGTCATGAACAAAATATTATAATTTGATTATCTCAGCCCTTAGGTCATGTAATATTGTAATCTATACTATTAATTGGGAAGCACAAAATATTAAGTAACCTTTAGTTTATGGAATATTACTTAGATTGCCATTAGGTTTTTTAAATTTAGAGAAGGAAAATATATAAAATAGGAAAATCAAATATATTGCCTCAAAAATCGTGATTTTTTTTAAAACAGTTATTAATAGTTTTAGGAAAATCTAGGAAATCCAAACTTAACCTGCAAGATAAATTAATTCAAAGTTAATTTGAATTAATTTAGAAAAAAATATTTTTGGATTTATTTTTTTCAAAATTCTTTATGAGCATTATTTAAAATTAAATAATGATTTGAAATTCAACCAACGTTATATTCATTAGTTTTCTTTGTTTTTATTCAATTATTGTTTTTTTTGAAGATTAAATTCATATTCTTGGTAATTAAGTAAGATTTTTAATAATTTAGAAAATATATAGAAAATACTATAAAATCAAAATTTTACTATTACACGAAAGTTACAATATTCTTTAAAAATATGATCGGAATTAAATGCATATAATTACTGATTTAAATTGATATAGAAATATGGTAAATAATATATTATTTGTTATAATTTGTTTCGGCTTACCTAATTAACAAAGAACAATATCCGTTTTTATAAATTTACACCATTATATATTCAGCTGCAAGTAATCGTAGCCACCATTCCGAATGTAAGTCATAACTAAATTTTGTCCTCTGTTTATACATGTGACTCTTGGATACATTTTCTTTTATTCATGTGATGATAATTACAAATAGAACATTATACTTTCAGTTAGGCTATGTTTCTACAACTTATAAATTAACTACATAGATTTATCGAGCCACGCCTTCTACTGGAGTTGGGTCAAAAGACGGTCACACTCAGCTTATGAATCTGATCCAACAAATAGTTTTATATAAGTTCTTGATTCCACTTTTGTAATGGGTGAGTTATATAGCAAATAAACCAAATATTTTAATTGAGTTATTAGTACACTACTTGATGCTAATGAACTTTGTTCTTTCCTACAAGTTGCTCATAGTTTCGTGCTAGCTTCTCTGATTTAAGTGTTATCTTTTGTTTCATTATAGAATCTTAATACAAGAAAAAATTGTCTAGAAAGGGTAACATTATTGAAAATATGTTCCGAAGTTTGGAAAATTAATTATTGAACCCAAGTCAACCGATTAGTTTATGTCATTGGTTCACTGATCTTTAATCATTCACACGTTTAATAAAAATTTTACTGATCACTAATCCGCTTCATGGTTATTTCCAGTCCATCTACATATCAGTCCGGTTTCAAAGAACTGGTCAAAATTTTATTATTTTAAACATTTAACTATTTTATACTTCAGAAACTGAATCAAACTGCACTTGGTATAAATTCAAATTATGAATATTATACAAATAAATATGTGTTTAAATATAATCCCGAACCAACGTTTTAAATAATTAGAGAATGTTAAGAAAATAAAAAAATTTCAATAGGTTCTATTTATTTTGTAAAAATTAAATCTCGAAAGGGAAAGTACGAGAAATATGGATATTCTATCTGAATCTCTTACCCGTTCTCTTATATGTTGAACTAGATTAAACATTCTCCGATAGGTAATTATTTTTTAAAAAAACAATTATGTGACGAAATTTTTTAAGATAGGCAACGGGACGGGACGAGACTACTTTTTCTCAGTGTCTTTTCTATGTAATTGTCTAATAACAAAATCAAATCAACTCACTCATTCTGTTTACACCGAAATGAAACCAAACAAAATACCAAACTGATATGAATTCAAATTATGAATGGTATACCAAATAAATACACAAACATTACTCCGCACGTACGCGCGGATCCGAATCTATATATATGACCAAAATAACAAAAGAATCTATATTGAATTAAATTTTATTTAAAACATATTTTTAAATATGAAATCCCGCACGTACGTGCGGGTCAGGATCTAGTGCACACATATGACAGATTGCCGATGTCGACACTTTCTCAATATAATTTATGATATTTAATTTGTACGTACAAATTTACGAAGACTTTGATTAGAGTTTGAAGGAAAAAAAAGAAAAAGAAGAAAACAAGTTTATTAAGACTATCCTAATAATACACTGCTACATAAATTAGAAACCCCAATGGAAGATCATTAGAAATTTTTTTTTTGTCAACGACTTTATTAAACTAACTTATACAAGATCATTGAAATCCCTTTAAATGACATATATTGTTAGTCAATTTATGTCTACATCTTATAAATATTTTATCTATCATTGTCTACTGGGGGGAATTTAAGCCCACTCGCAAGACACAATAATAAATTTTGAGACAATTTATTTATTGTAGTAATAAATTTTGAGACAATTTATTGTGTCCCCCCAGTAGACAATTTATAACTAGTGCCAGAGCTAACAACTAGACTTATTTTTAATGGAGTCATATATGTATTTAAGAACAAAAGAGACATATCTATACCTGTAAAAAAAAAGACAAAACTTTATTTAAAAATATTTGATACTTATATATTTTTTATATGTCTATATTTAATGGGGTCACAATTGTGTCTATTTTATATACAAAATAGACACCATTTGTATCTTATAAAGTTTTTTTGTTTTAAATATTTTAAAATACTAGAAATATATTTCTTCAAGTATGAACTTTATTTTAAAATAATCTTATTTATATTTATTTAAAAAAATCAATTAATAATATTTATTTAATAGTAAAGTTTTGATATAGAAGATTAGTATAAAAATAAAATAATATGATTACAATTAATGTGTGATTAATGTTGAAAATAAAGCAATGATTCTATTTTTCATTATAAAAAGAAGTGGAGGATTGTATTAAGAATACTCTCTCAAAAAAGAAAAATTGTCAGGTTTTCGAAATATATTGTGCAGAGTTAGTCTCTATGGTGAAATCTCCTCCGATTTCGTCTGCTTTTTCCAATATTCTCGATGAATTTGGTTTGCTCCGAGTTAATTATTTTTTTTCTCGTTTTTAGATATTTCTCGCTCTTGTAATCTCCTAGCCGATTATTTAGCCAAGACTTCTAGATCTTTAAGTTGTGAATTTTTTTATGCAAACTCTTCTTTTCTTGATTGGGCTACCAATCAAAGAGTAAATTTTTAATTAATGTGTGGTTAAAAAAAAAAGATTTAGGGTGAAAAATTTTAAAGTACATACTTACATAACCATTTAAAATAGCATTTGGTCTACCAACCAAGACTATAATAGGATAAAATCATATATCACAATATAATATAAATCTTGAACATTATTTTTTATTTAGTTCAATAAGCAAATTTGTAACTATATTAACAATTTTTATTTCAAAATACAAGTAAATAAAAATTTATAAGAATCCATAGAGGTCAACTGAACTTATAACTTTTAAAAGAGCACAATAAAGAACTTATAATCAAATTTGCTTATAGCAGCAAGAAGTCCCAACATTGTTAGCATAGGTTTCTCGTTCCTTGGTTAAAGATTTACAGGTTAAAGTATAATCATAAAGTAATTAACCAGAAGCCAATAAAATAAACTCTTAGGTATATTATTGATCCAACCCAATGACATTGGGGAAAAATATATATCAAAGTATCAAACCAATGATACAGCCATAATTAGGTACACACACCAATCCAGCTTTTGCACTCAACAAACGACAAAATCCCATATTTCGTGCATATCTCTCTGGTTTTATTATCCAACTACTCATTATTCAACTAAACCGAGTGATCTGGTCAAAATTGGGGACCAAATCTAACACGTTTATTAACTGCGAAATTCACATAAACGTTTTAAAAAACATTATTCAGCTAACGCAAGTCTTATGTTCTTCACCACTTCTTCAACAGGTCGAGAAAACAACTTGTCCATCTGCAAATATAGATTTAAAATTTACATATTTTTTTAACACATAAAATCAATAGTATATGATAAAATAAAAATATTAGAAGATTGATACATTACCTTAGAGAGAATGGTTATAACGATAGTTGAATTTCCAAATGGTAAAGTGAAGCTATTGACTACTTCAAGGCGAAAATTCTCCAATGAACTTAAGATCTTGATCATACACCCTTTGTTCTTCTCACAATGAACTGTTATTAGCAAATCTCTGCCTGACACTCTGGCTTCGATCATAGGCATTGTTTGTTTCAAGATCGAAACTTCGTCCGAAGAAGAAGACAGAGGAGACGCAGCAGAGCAAGTAGAAGAATAAGATGAAGAATCATCATCTAAATACACTTGAGATCTCTTCACCAATATAACCGATTGATCCATATTCTTGGTCCCAACTCGCTCTTCCTCTAGCTTCTTTACCCGTTCTTGAAGTTGTTTCAAATGCTTGATCGCGTCTTCAAGAACGGTTGCCTTGTCCGTCTACACACACACACACAAATTTAGTACCATTAAAAAAAAAAAATTATAAGCCTTTTTAAACACGATTTCTACGAAGAAAAAAAAACTTTAAGAAAAAACAAATCAAATTTTCATATACTATATTTAAATTGCAAAATGTAAATAAAACTCCAAATGTACATAAAAACATTTTTCTTATGTTTGTTGAGGTTGGCGTTTAGATTTTACATTTAAAAAAAAAAGAGTTTCTATTTATTTGTTTATAGTAGTCACTATTCTGGTGGGTTATTTGTAAAAGAATATATATAATAAATATAAAATAGTTAAAGTCTGATGAGAAAGAGATGGTTTATAGATGTTGACCTTTTTGAGGCCAGGAAGAAGAGCAGAGAGAGCAATCAAACGCTCGTTGAGCTTTTGTCGACGTTTTCTTTCAGCCAAAACATGTTCTTTCAATAGATGTGGTTCTCTTCTTCCTCCATTGTTAACACAATCTTTTCTTTTGGACCCCACTTTCTCATCCATGCTTACTTGGTTGGAGAAGTTCAATGATGTCTCGACCGGGTTTGTCTTCGTGTCCGGAGACCCGAATGAGATCACTTGTGACGTGCGTGAACCCGAAGAAGAAGAAGACGACGACGGAGAAGAAGATGTTGAGTTGATGTTGTTGTTAGTTTTCATTTGCTTTGTTGGTCTCTCTGGTACCAACTCAAACCCGGTTCCAGATCCAGACTCAGAACCAGGTTTGGTGTTAGTTTCTCCGCATATCGGGAAATCGGATTCCCAGTCATCGATCAGATACTCATCAGTGTCGATCATCAAATCCATAAAGCTTGAATCTTCCATTTTTTCAGTGGAATCACTAAAACTTTTTTTCTTAGATCAAGAAAGCAAAAAAAAGTTTATGTTGAAACTAAACAAGAAGCGAAAGGAAAGAAAACTTTAGGATATATTTTAAATTTTCTTTTGTTTTGGAGTATGTATGATTTTGTTTTGTTATGTGAATGTGGTCGAGTGAACTCTTTATAGTGGATCTATATGATTTTGGTCCTTTTTAATCATTATTTTGCAGTTTATAATATCGGCATGAAAATAAGAGCATATGGGTTTAAAAAAGAATATATAATTGTTATATGAATATGGCTGACGAATCGCATATCCGGTTACCCGATCCGGTAGGTTTTGCAATAATTAGTTTTTTAGTAAATTTAAGGTCCTGAAAAAAAATTAAATGTGGGAATTGTTTTGGTTGATCTTGGAATTAATGGGTGGGGATTTGAGTAGCTACCGATGCGATGAGATCTGGCCTTGGAAAACTAACAAGACTTTAATCAAAGATCAAATCATGTGATTCGTACCATAAATGTATCAATCTTGATAGAAATATAGATTTGTGAAAAAAAAAAAAAAATATATATATATATAGATTTGTGAGTCTATGCTATGACTTTAGGTAAGAAACTACAGCCCATAACGTGGACGAATTAGATCAAATGTAGATAAAGCATATGACATATATGGATAACTGAAAAAATATAAAAAAAATTGCAAACTTTCTTTTAATTCTTTGTGCGATATTTTAATCGATCATTGGGGACTAGATAGATGAGTACCACGAAGAAAATGATCAAAATCGCTAGAAGCACAAAAAGTTCTTTTCGAAGATCCTCCAATGCTCAAATTAAAACAGATTCAAAAAGAAAATAAAATATTATAACCCGTGAAGGTTTTTTGTAATGATGTTGTTCCACAATTGTACCATTTCGAGTTTTATCACTTTGGCGGTGTCATGGACTTATGGTTGAATAGTCATATTTGTAAAGCACCCCAACGGTTCAACTGCGATTTAATCGCATCCGTATATGCAAACAAAATATTATGAATAAACTTTGATGTACAACTTCGATTTAGTCGCATTCATATATGCAAGCAAAATATTACGAATAATTTTTTCGGTTAATTTTTTACAGCTAGAATATAATGAGTTTCATTATTTTTACCACTGATGGTAATCTAGCTAACACGTTAATTTGGGGTGCAACATTAACACAGACTACACAGTAATCAAGTGATGTTGGTGTAATGGTTTCTGTTTGAGTAAAAGTTGCTATGTTGATTTAGGATATGGATTAATTTTTCTCAAACACAAAACTATTTAACTATTCTCATTTGGCCAGCCGAAATGATATCATGCCACAAATTTATTAGAAAATCGGATAAGTTGATTACTCAACAGTTAAACTCACAGTAAAAATATTAATCGGATGATAAAAAAGTCAGATTACCCTAGACTTGAACTCAACTCCCCACGTGTTATTGCAAGTAACGTGGTCCACTGCAGATCCGAATTTGCTTATCAATGTCCGAAACCATTATTTTTACGTGTAAAATATCTATTATATTATAAGAAAACTACAATAAAATCCTTCATGACGTAGAATAGATTTTATACTTAGCATACAGAAAATAATTGATTTTATATTCTAAAGCCAGGAGAGGTTGAAGTCTATATATAACTCCTACTTGTTTATGCAATAATATGAGGCTCCCGTTGAATCTGTCTGGACAAATTAATGGTGATATAATTGCATTCTACTAGTAGTTCTTAATTTCTGTGCTTCTTTGTGGACCAAATATCTATAATTGAGTTTGTGTACAGAAAAACTAATTACGTTCTAAATACAGCAGCGCAAATTCATTATTTTTTAAAAATATAAAATAGTTTAGCGAAAAACTCATATTTTAAAAATTTTAATTTTTTATTTAAGAATTATCATTTAATATTTGATTTTAAAAATTTAACCAATAATATAAAAGATTGCATAATACAAATAATTATAAAATATCAAGTATATTTAATATTCCATAGGATTTTGTAAAACATCATATATGCTTAATTGACTAAGAGACAGGTTGCAGTTAGTAAAAACACTACAAACACTAAAAATAATTTTCACCGGTTTGAATTTAGTATTTTGGGGTCAGATTTAGTTTTTTTTTGTCTTAAAAATTTAAAATTTATTTTAGTTTTGTGGTATTTTTGAAAAAAAATTATTTTAGTAGTATTTTTGAGAAAAAACTAGTGATGATATTTTCATAAACCGGAAAAACTAGCTTTTTAATATATTTTTTTCACATCATCTCATAGCCGACCAATCAAAGCCATATAAATTTTTGTTAATTTTAGTTTTTGTTTGTGAAACGTTTACACTATAAGTTTTCTTAATGTAATACGATAAACACCATAATTATCTCTCTTTTGCGATGAATCAAATTTGTTTTGATAAGAAAACATTTTTTGGTTGTTAAATGAAAAGGCAGTTCTCTGGAACCATTTTCCTATCCTCGTGAATCATGTGATGACTATCTTTTTTTGCCTCTTAATGCATTCTTATTATTATTACATTTTTTTTAGGTCATGTCAATGCATTCGATTCTTATTATTTTAGTATACCGATTGTTCTTATATATAGCAAAGTAGAGATCAAGACTAATTCTCAGAACTCGGGATCGATTAATTTTTATGAATTGGTTCAGAATTATTTTTTTATTGTGGTTTACTTTTAATATAATGTTTATGGTTATTTTTTTATGCCAAAAAATCTACACTTTTCTTTTGGGGAGGGAAACAAACAAATCTATCTTAAAACATGAAAAGTATGAATTTCAACCTCAATATAGTATGCCATGTGTTTTTTTATGCATCAACTAATACACACAATATGTATTTCTATCTGAACAAACAAAATTTTCAAACAATCTACATAAACTTCTAATCGTAAGCTGAAATCAACATTATTGACACAAATGGTGTTAGTCAAACTGTTAGTTTCTGCTGAGTCAGAGTCTATATGTCGAGTTTATGCTAAGTCAGATGCCACGTGTCCCAGAAATAACTTTAAACAAATAATTTGTTTTAATTCTAATTTTACGTTTAGTTCTACTAGTTTTTCTTTCTTTCTTAGATTAAATGATTCTACCAAGAATTATACATGTATTTGTTTGGAATATAATATAACATAATCATATTTAATTTCAGAGAAAATTATAATATATATATAATTATGTTTATTCATCCATTTTTAAATATCAAATTTTGATGATTTTGAACATTATGTTGCTCAAACTTTTAACCAAAGAGCAATAATTGCTTTCAAGCACTAAACAATTATTATAAATGGTTGTTTCAATATTATATATATATAAAAATATATATATATATGTATACCCTAAAAATTGATGAGGGAAAATTAAAATAAGATCATGAGATCTTGTCTATCGTTTGTAGTGTTGTTATTGTGTTATCATTTGATTCAAACCCATAAATAACTTGACAGTAACCGGCGAAAAGAGAATTTCTGAATAAATAAATATTAAAAAAAATGTCTATAGGTATTGATATTCAAGAGACTTTGTTTTATCCAAACAGAATTGTAAATTTAATCTTTAAATTATACAAAGATATTAAAAAATCTTGTTTACTTACACTATAATTACATAATAACCTTTAAAAGTTAATATTGTTGGGCTATGATATTTTTTCTAATTTTATTTAGTTAACAAAAACTAATAAATTACTATGGTCCGTTATGCTATACATGTCCGCTTTTGGTTGAAAAAAGAACTTTCAAACCAAATGTAATATTACATCTTGATGATTTTGGGACGGATTTGCAACCATTTTACGTTCACATCACAATCCTAACTATTGACATATTGGAGAGAATATATCAAAGAATCAATTATGGATTTGCCATTTTTTGGGATGGCATTTGTGGATTTTGCTCTTTTTTGAATAGTTTATGGATTTTGCCCTTTTTCAGGCTACGGAAATATGATTTAACATGCGTTTTATTCGTTATGTTTGGGTTTAGTCGGTTGTGGTTGTTCTTAGGGTTTAGTATTTTGTATAAACTACGTATTTTTACCAAAAAAAAACCGAAATACGTACATTTTTAAGTGTAAAAAATGGCAAATCCGTAAGATTTTAATGAAAATGGCATTTTCAAAAGATTTTGATAAAAAAGGGCAAAATCAACAATAATCCCTATATCAAATTTAGAAGACTACGTTGACTATAAAATGATATGCTAAACATTTTTCAGATGATGGATAGATAGTTTGAGATGTCTTTGCATTAAGGTATCCAGACAGTGTCACCATGTGTGTATCATCAGTTTGCTAGCATATATCTTGAATTGTGCAGATATAGTTACTTTGCTCAAGGACCTTTATATATATGAAAAATGTGTATATATTGTTTCATTTCATATGATAATTATTGGTTATAGCGACCAACATAGTATGTAATAATATTGTGGTTTGTTTTAATATCATCCATGTGTCATGCATGCCATTCGGGTTTAAATTTACATAATGCATTGTTATTAAAAAAAAACATTTGTTGTGAATGTAATCATTTTCCCCTACAACTTACATCCATTTATGAAGGGATAATAATTGTTTTGAAAATTTTGGTTACGGGCTCAAAGTAGTGACGGAGCTAGAAAATTTAGTTATAGGGGTCAAAACAAATTATTTACAACAATAAAAGATTATTTAGTTATGAATTTTTTAAAAGTAAAACTGATATGTATAAAAAACATAAATATCCGTATCCAAAAATGTAATGAAATAATTATATAAATGTTTTAGTGTTTCTGGTTTGTTATTGTGAAAACTTAAAAAAAAAACTAAGTATTTTGTTAAAAAAACCAGAAAAAATCTCCTTACATTCTTAACTTAATCATGTAAATCATGAATAATTACATTATAACTATTGGTTCTTAAGTATTTACATGAATCCAAATAGATTAGGTTCTCTCTTTTTCTTATGTGTTATGGTTGATTGGTGCATAGGGGTCCAAAATTATCTTCAATGTGGGTCACTATAATTACTTAATTAACATATATAATGGAATTTTCAAAACTTATGGGGGTCAATTGGCCCCTATCCCTTACCTACCTCCGCCCCTGATTAATTGGCGAATTGAAAAAAAAATATGGTTCAGTTTATATATACTTCAAACATACAATGTGACTATACATAACAAATATTTATTACCAACAGTGTTTATGTGGATAACAAATAATTTTTCACCATATTGCAATGCATATTATGAAGATGGACTTTGAATTGTGTGGATGGTAATATTAAATGTATAAAATTCAAACAATTCACAATAATAGTTAAAATAAGTTATACTCCCTCCGCTTTAAAATAGTTGTCTTTTTTTCTTTGTCATCCGAAATTAACTAAAGCTCAAAAGAGGTTTAAATTAGTTGTCGTTTATGGTTTTTTCACGAGTTATATTAAGAAAACATTATATTTTTTCTGTTTTACCCCTAATTAATGTATTGTTTTATTTGATATCATCAATAAATAAACTTTAAAAATATGGATAAAATTGGAAAGTCTATCAAACATCTGCATTGAAAACAGAAAACGACAACTAATTTAAAACAAAAGTTAACGACAACTAATTCGAAACGGAGAAAATATTTCTTATTAATTATAATAAAATAGAATAATTTGAGATCTGTACGAATATCCAAACAGCAAATTAGTAATACTGGTACATGTCATTACCATTACTCTTTATCTGAATTTTTTAATACTTCAAATTTTAAATGGTTCTTGAAGAATATATAACGAAATGAATAAAAAGTATTACAAGCTATATCCACCTTTAGATGCTATTCTTTTTGGAAACGATCGAGATCCATTTTATTAAAGTCTTATAAGTACTACTTAATGATCTCTACTCTCCATGTTACCCCTTACACACTTTATTTATTGTTATTGTCTACATATTAATTGCGGAGATTTATGATGAGAAACAAATGAATGAACCTTATCAAAAAAAGAAAAAAAAAACCTTATCGCTACAAGGATCGTATGAATAATTTAATGGAGTATATAAACCCCACATTATCTAAGAAATATGTTCACTCTTTTTTCCAACAAAAACTTTTGAATTTTTGAAACTCGTCAAAACGAACATGATTTGTAAATTGTAATCTAGTTGTGGTTTATGCTAGTATTACATCACTCTATCACCATCTGATTTTTTTGTTTTTAAATATAGTTTTGGTTGTTAAAAAACTGAACCCTTCAAATCATTTTTATACATGATTTTGTTTTAACTTTTAACAAGGAAAATCTCATATCAAAATTCAGAGTAAATCTCATATGAAAGGTGATGTTGACTACGTAATAAAGCAAACACGTGATTTCTCATGTATACATACGGTCACGCTTTTGACAAACTTTCAACTGCAGTGGTTGAGAGTTAAATCATTCCGAGAGTGTTTTTTCTTTTTAAGAGCATGGTTATAGGTGATACTCATATAGTATCATTACGAATTTTTTAATATTATTTATAATATTTGTTTATTATTTGAGATTTTTTATGATACTCCTATTAAATATGTTTGCATTGGTGAGATCGGTTTAAGTATCATAAAAAAAAAAAATTTGCAAAATCAAAAATTAATATATTAAAACACAGGATTACAAAAGGTAATATTAAAATAATTTTTTTTTTCTCTCATTTCCCACAAAAACGTGTTTTCCCGACTAATCCCGAGCCGCCACGTCATCAGAGACTGGTATCACAAGTATCACTCCAGTGATACTACTCAGGCCCAAATCAGTTGTTTTACCCATTAATTTAATATTTTTGGGCTTATGATACCCATAAAAAATCTGCTATGTACATGGTCTAAATATACCAATTTTAACGGGTATAGAATTGATCACGTGATATAAATATAGTACACATGTGATTCATGTGATCACGCCTTTCTCGAAAAGTAACGGTGTAAATAGTAACGGTGGAATCCGGCTAAATTAAGCTGAATTTGTCTGAATTTAATGATGATTTTTGCGGAATCTAGCTGAATATCTTCGAATTTAAATAGTAACAGCTGAATCTTAATCAATTTTTTAAAATTAATAAATTAACTAAAAAAACATATGAAAATATAGATTCCAAAATTTTATTTTGTCAACAAGAGCAAATAAAAAACAAATGAAAATATTAAACTTGAATTTAATATAATTTAATAATTTTATTAAACATCAGATAATAACTTAATTTGAAAAATGTTCAAATTTGTAAAATATTAAAAATGTGATACATTTAATCTTTTTTTTTTTATCAAATATATATATCATATAAAAGCATAAGCTAATAAAATAAACTAGTAATTGTTACTTTTTCAATAAAAATTAAACGATTTTATTTTTCTAGTTTATAATTTTTCTTACTAATAACTTTTAGTAGAAGTCTTCTACTACTAAATTAGATATTATAGTTTTAATAATTATTTAGTTTTAATAATAATTAAATTGGTTAATTTATTAAACAACTTAAAAACAAATATAAATTTTGAAACATCAACAATTCCTCACAAATCCCTCAAGTATTCCTCAACATGCAAATGATGTAACCAATTTTAATTTTTCAAGAATTCCTCAAAACCCATGTTACCATTTACAGCCTTAAACCATCTCCAATGGTTGGCTTTATTTCTTGTTCTAAATTTGGAGTGCTCTAAACATAGAGCAGAGGTTTGCTCCAATAGTTGGCTTTATTTTTTGCTCCAAAATAAATATTCTATTTTAATATTTTTTTTTAATTCTTCACAGAGTTCTTTATTTTTAAAGTTTGCGAATTCTATCCACTTAGTTTATTTTAAACAAATATCTAATATAACCATATTATTAAAAATTAAATTTTATTACAACACATAAATAGAAGATCGAATAATTAATATATTTTTATTTAAGCATCATCATTAGTGGTTCCGAAAGCGATCATTTGTGATGGTATTATTTTCTAACATGGCTCTGATACCAAATGTAACACCCGTCCCGCCACAAAGGATGGGACTGTATGCTATTCATCCGGTCTTGCCAAAACGTTTCTTTCTTTAAAATTCACCAACGAACAAACTTCAACCCGCAACTTTTGAAACTTACTAACCTGGAGAAAAAGGGGAAAAGGGGTGAGTAAAACAAGTTTACTCAGTGAGGAGATCAACTCTGCCCACTGGACATACAGTAATCACGTTCCAAACATAAACAACAACCATTACTTAGCATAGATTCAGAAGGTCTATCAATCAAACAAACATGCATTCGTCTTGCTCACAACAAGATATTTTACTTTCATTTTTAGATTTAAGTATTTTTAACTTATGGATACTCGAGGAGAATGTTGGACTGTAATGGAGCCGACGGGTTCATTACAGCTCATTAACCGCTGACGAGCAATAAGGGGAAGGATCGAGCTATGGGCCGTGGTCTTCCGGAAGTAGGCTAGAGTAGCCATGAAATGTAACACCCGTCCCGCCACAAAGGATGGGACTGTATGCTATTCATCCGGTCTTGCCAAAACATTTCTTTCTTTAAAATTCACCAACGAACAAACTTCAACCCGCAACTTTTGAAACTTACTAACCTGGAGAAAAAGGGGAAAAGGGGTGAGTAAAACAAGTTTACTCAGTGAGGAGATCAACTCTGCCCACTGGACATACAGTAATCACGTTCCAAACATAAACAACAACCATTACTTAGCATAGATTCAGAAGGTCTATCAATCAAACAAACATGCATTCGTCTTGCTCACAACAAGATATTTTACTTTCATTTTTAGATTTAAGTATTTTTAACTTATGGATACTCGAGGAGAATGTTGGACTGTAATGGAGCCGACAGGTTCATTACAGCTCATTAACCGCTGACGAGCAATAAGGGGAAGGATCGAGCTATGATTTTAAATTTCAATTAATTTAGTAACTATGATTTTTAATTTACAATAACATTGGAGATGCCTAAGTACTCCCTCAATTTTAATATAGTATCATATTATACCTAAATAAAAAAAATTTTAATATAAACTTTGTAAATAAATAAGTTGTACTCTAAAAATAGATATATGAATAGTGTTGCTCCAAATTATCTCTATTTTTAGAGCAAGATATAAACACTATTGGAGTGATTTTGCTCCAAATATAAAATTTGTAGCTAGATATAGAACACCATTGGAGATGCCTAAAAGGTGTAAAAAAAAAAAAAGTAAGTGAGGAAAACATTTTAGTATATGAGCCATTTAAAAGCGTTATTAACAGAGATAAGACATGTGTCAATCTGAAGATCACAAAGTAAAATGTTTTCAAGCTATAGTTGACCCTTGATCGTGTGACTATGTATATCGGAAATCAAGAAATAAGAAAGAAATCTTAATATGCTTAATTTATTGAAAATCTGTTCTTAATCGATGCTAAATTACTTTTTGGGGTGATTATAAACGTATCCAAAAAATGGTAAAAAAACAAAGAAATGTTTTTTTTAGGTCTATACAAGACAAAAAGATACTCAAAAGTTTTGAATTGGATTTTTAATCGTATCGGATCGTCGTGTAATAATTACTATTTGGTCACGTCGTGCAACAATTACTGATATGTTTTTTTTCTCTTATAACTCAGGATAAATCCTAGATTTATGAAGAAGCTTAGACTAATCTTTAATTTGGGAAAGATGTAACCTATGAATAGATTTTTTCTCCGAATATTCAAATGGACTGTAAACAAAGGTTCATATACATTTCAGAAGTTTATAACATTAACCTTCCATGTAATTTTGCTTTAATTTCTACAATATCTTCTTTCCTTTTTTTTGTTGGTTGAAGGGCTTGCTTTCTAGCTACAATATCTTTCTTGTTGGTAAGAATGTGAATTTCATTAAGAATCGAAGAGGGTTTGTCAATAATTCCAAAATACATTAACAAGCCAAAAGGCATTACAAGGATAAGGCCACATTTATTTCTGTTACTTTTTTTTTGAAAATTCTGTTACATTAAATTAATTATTAACAGAAAAAATTTACATCTAAATTAATTCTCAACGGTCCTTATCGAAAATTCATCAAACACGTGGTAGAACACGTGTGAAAAATCCTTAGGAAGAAAACGACAGCAAATCCACGAAACGATTGCGTCAATGTACAATCTCTCAGGTTACTGAAACTTGGAAGAAGACCTAAACCATTGCGAGTCTCAGGTCCCTTACGAGATCCTTAAGTACACTCACCGAAAAATCTTTATCCATCTGCCATAAAAAAAAATTAAGAAGATAATTGTAGATAATCCGTATAATTAAAGAAATCAATATTATATAATGGCATTCTTTGTAATTATTTAAAAAAAAAATCAATATTATATATATTGAATGAGCTACAAGTTATCCATTTTAGTATTCCATATATATAGTTATTAAAATGATCACCTGTGCAAGGACTGTGATGTCGAGAGTTGAGTCTCCGAATGGCAAAACAATGCTATTTTCGATGCGCAGTTGAAGATTTTCAACTGTCTTTAGTATGTTAATCATGCACCCTTTGCTTTTCTCGCAGTGGATTCGGATGAGAACGTCGTTTTGAGATATTTTCGCTTCGATTTCTGGCAACGCTTGATGATCTAGAATAGAAGATGATAGGTTAGGTTCATCGTCGAAAAGTACTTTAGATTTCTTCAGAAGAATACGGGATTGAATTTCTCTTGTTGCTTCTTTTTCTTCTTTGAGCTTTCTTAGTTGTTCTTGGAGTTGTTTCATACGTGAGATCGCGTCATCAAGAATTGTTACCTTGTCCGCCTAAAAAACCACACAAGATAGTTATGTTTTCTCAAAACCAATTGATAATGATGAAATAATATTATTTTGTATTATGTGTTATTCTTCACTATAAAAAACCTAGTAAATAAATATAAAACTTACAAAATTTACCTTCTTAAGCCCGGGAAGAAGAGCTGAAAGAGCAATGAATTTTTGAGAAAGCTTCTCACGTCGCTTTCTCTCGGCTAAAACATGTTCTTTCGCAAGAACCGGAGATCTTGTGCCATGAAAACATGTTTTTCTTTTGGTTCCACGTCCAACCAAATTATCCATAATGATCTCCTCCGCGGTTGGAGAATAAGAAACATTACTAGAGAAGTCAAAAGAAATCAGTTGTTGCTTGTTGTTGATCTTCACCACTGGCTTTGGTTGCTCTCTGAGGAACTCAAGATGCATTTGATGATCAAATTTTGATGATTGATCAGCTGATCTTTGTGAATTCGATTCATCATGTGATAGATTTTTTTCCTCGCGATCGTAAATATTAAAGTCGAAATCAATGTCTTCTAGTGAGAAATCGGTTAAGAAGAAGTCTTCATCCATAAAGAAAAGTCAAATTTTTTCCTAATTTAGACAAGATTAAAAGACAATTCGAGAGATGTCTTTATTGTTTTGTCGTAAAGGGTTTATGAATAGAAAGTGTTTTCAGGTATAATTCGCTTTATATATTTGACAACGAGACGCGTGTTAATTTGTTTTCTTCCACTCTATAATTACGTTGACCAGATTGTGTATATAATGCATAAAACGTGACGTATATGTAAAAATATTATGATCGTATAATTTGTTGGCTTCTAGAGGTCTGAGATTACAATGTTTGCCGCGTCAACAGGGTCACATGCAAAAAAACGGCATAAAAAAAAAGTTATTTTTTCTATCTTCTTTTCATCAATAATTGAATATGAACACATGCATAAAAACACGTACGGTGTATGTCTCCATGATGTGATTTTGATTCCTTGTAAAAAATTATTTTTCTTTTATGTTATAATACAGATGTCTAGACATTTCTTGTAATACTTTGGATGCATTTTTAAGAAATTGAAGCTCTAAATAGTAGCACACAAAATAAATTTAGCTAGATTTGACAATTTCGCAAAAACATCATTTGCATTTAACTAATAAATTCAGCAGTTTTTTGAATATCAACTCACAAATAACTATATTCATTTTGGGTAAAAATTCGGATATAACGAGTACACAGTTCGAGTTAAAATCTAAAACGAATCATTGTCAAAACTTTTTAGTTTCTTTTCTCTTTTGCTTATTCGAATTGGAATCGATTCGATTTAGAGTGTACATATTTTGGTTGGAATTTCAAGCCAATCCTCGAAACCAATTGAGAAGAGCTTCGCCGAGGAAGAAGGCCGGACTAGCACAGATCGAAGAAAACAGGACGAGCACATATCTGATTTTTTTTAGATGAAATTAATTTACGGACAAAACTAGAGAATCGAGAAACGAAGCTTTAGTTGGGGAAAAGATTGATGTTTGTGTTCGGTTGCAATTTGGATCGGATTCAAAAATATGAGATGCGCGATAAATTTTAGAAAACAACTTTTTTTATTTATAAGACAAACCTGTAGTTTCTCATGAGATTTTTTTTTTTTGTGCAGAATTTCTCATGAGAAAAGTACCTAAATCCATAAACACTCTGAAAATTAATAGATCGGGCAATGACAGGCAAAAAAAAATGGTTTTTCCTAATTAGTTCATATATTTCATCATCAGTTACTCATTTACTCTTCTTTTCCGAAGGTTTTATCAACCAACCAATAAATGCTTTTAATCTTCTTCTTCTTCTTTTTTGTCTTCACATTTGCTTTTTATCTTTATATAAAATAAAATATCTTTTTTACGTCCTAAAAGTCTTACCACATTTATTAGGTTTCCTTTCTAATGTATTTTATTGATGTGCAAGTAGGTCAACAAATAACAATACGTGTAAATACGCACGTGTTTTTCGTGTTGAAATATGGAGAGCTTATTTCCCACTCGGAAACAAAAATGATCAAGAAAAAGTCTCTAAAGCTGTAACTTTGTAAATTTTATAGCTTTTTTAGAGTTGACAAAAGGTTATAGTGATACAAAAAAACCAAAATCTATGAAATAAGAAATTTACAATAACAAAAACTATAAATACAACGCGCTGGATTAACGGTAGTTTTACCAATCATCAAACCTATGACAGGGCCAAACTATTTTCACGCTTAAAGCAAATAGAAAAATTTAAACGCACCAAAAAACAAAACTGGAAGAAAAATCTAAAATAAAGAACATATGAGATTTTTGCATCTCAAGGTCAGTTGATCGCCTGTTTACAACTATGCCACAAACTAACTTTCAAAATAATGATCTTAACTTATAAATATAAGAAATTTACAATAACAAAAACTATAAATACAACGCGCTGGATTAACGGTAGTTTTACCAATCATCAAACCTATGACAGGGCCAAACTATTTTCACGCTTAAAGCAAATAGAAAAATTTAAACGCACCAAAAAACAAAACTGGAAGAAAAATCTAAAATAAAGAACATATGAGATTTTTGCATCTCAAGGTCAGTTGATCGCCTGTTTACAACTATGCCACAAACTAACTTTCAAAATAATGATCTTAACTTATAAATATATATTTATAATGCCTAAAACACCAACGTCATGAGCTTTAGCTATAGGCTAGGTCTGATCAAACCTATAACATATATTAACAAGGATAATAAGAATAGTTGAATATAATTGTAGAATTTTATCGAATATTATTTGAAACAATAAATGATAAAATTTCATTGGATATATACAACTTAAGTTGTATTTTAAGTTCTAGTATGTGGTTTTACTTTTTTTTGGGTATATCCAATTTTCTAAACTATTTAATAATTATGTGGCACATTGCCACTTGTTGACTGATAACTACTACAATTGTTTCCTCCTTTTGTTAAAGCACTTGGTTTCTTTAAATTGTAATAATTGAGAAATTGTATTATTCAATTTTATTCGTCCAACAATCAAACCTAATTTTTCAAAAGGAAAATTCAATTATATTTTTTTTCCAAATTCTATTGTTTATAAATTATATTTTATATTATAAAAAAACCGTTAAATAAGATTTAGCTCTTATAGTTAAAATATAGTATTATGTAGCTCTTATATGGCCAAATATTTATATGAATAAGATACCTGTTATTAAGTTGCCATCCTATATTTATATTTATATTTATATTTATATTAATTCGAGTTATCCAAATGTTTTCACACCGTATGACCACTTTAAATTGAAGGTGATTAATTAGAAAATTGGTTTCTTCTTTACATATGGCTAAATTAAATATCTTTAGTATCGTAATTATGAAAGTTTCCATAATTCCATTGCCATAATTCGATATTCCAGTGCTACAAAAACATATCTCGCCCCATTTTCTGCAATAAATTAGATTAATGGTGGATATGATATCGAGGGATATGTTGCAGAAGAAGTTATGATGCCATGTGGATGTCGACATCTATATATTTATAAACAAGTTGCGTTTGATAATTACACTCATACTGTTTTGTCTTTAAACTCAATTTAGTTCCGATAAGGTGATACCGACCCGAGACATAATAAATGTCCCTTCTCTCTACCAAACGGGTTATTTAGTCTTAACTGCAATAAGAAAAGGCCAGACCAGGTTTATATGATGATGCATTCACATATACATCCAGCCCAAAAATGTAGGACAAACATGCAATGGTTCTGGGCCATGGCCATTTAAAAACAAACATTTCATATGAAAGGATTCATGTAAGAAAATTAGAAAATATGCCTAAATATTTCATTTAATTTATTAAAAATCTTATACACATATATAAGATCCGAAATTAAGACTTCCAATTATAATGGGTCGGTTTAGTTCACTAATTTTTCTGGTGAAAGGGGTATATATGGTTCACAATGTGGCGGATCTAGAAATATATTTAGCATGGACCAATATTTATTTATTTAATAAATATTTTATTATCATAAGTATTATATGTACTTTGTTAAAAGAAAGTATTATATATACTATAGTTATTATAAAATATGAAATATGTGAAAAACAAACCCAAAAATGAAAGATGTATATATGCGGTTGGAGCTAGGGTTACATGGCAAGATGTGTTCAAACCCGAAAATGAAAGGGTCTCAGCATTCGCAATTTGAGTTTGTATTTTTCCGTACGCAGATCTGGAACTTGCTCTCCAACGCAAATTCGGAACGTTAGGATAAACGCCAATGTATGCGGCATGGAAAGCTGTTGGAATATTCTTTCCGTAGTAATGAGTACTACCATAACAATTATATGTTTATGTGTGTACATGTCTATCGTCTCGATATATTTGATAATAAAGATTTGGTACGTACCTCTTGAAATGAAGTCATAACAGTACCTTTTAAAAAGGTCAGTAGAAATATAAAATGGAGATTTTGTTAGAAAATTTTGGATTCGAAAATCTGGATAACATATAATATATACTTTTTTTATGATATAAAGTGAGACAAATGTGTATCTACGGTTACACAGACCTTCTGGTTGGTGGTGCGGTGTGGACGGGATATGCCGCCGAAAATATCACAAATCCAGCTGACGACGACTAATCTTTTACTCACACACTCTCTTTATTTATACAATATATATAAACATTGTTACATATTTAATTTATCATTAACACACGATTTCGTCAATGAGTTTGGATAGGACCAATCATTTTCATTTTATAATTGTCGTCCTAATCAAACTGACTGTTGAGGGGCTTTCCAGTTTTTTATTCTTCCTTCGTCATAATTCCAATAGTTGGGAAATGGGAACTAACCATGTATATTATTATATAGATTATAAGAAAAATTTTAGATTTTAGGTATGAAAATTGTTAGTGTTTATTGGTAAGCCACTGGATCAGTAATATCTGAATTCTTCATATAATCTCAAAATTTAAAAATGACTTATTATTATAGAATAGTTTTTTTAGTTTATCATATGTTGAATTTCTTAAAAGCGAGCTTCTACTATAATTTTATAAGATACAGTAATTCGTTAAATATATCGAGATGATAGACATATACTGTAGGCCCGATTATTGGCATGTGCAACTGGTGCAGTAGCACAAGGTCCATCAGATTTTTTGGGTTTTTTCTAGTTAAAAAGGCCTAAATTTTTTTTTTTTTTTAATATGTAGTAATATTGAGACCAACTTTTTTCTAGCTCTGGACCTTATAAAAATTTGAGTCGGGTCATGTACACATAATTAAAATTGGTGTTAGTTTTATGTGACCTTCTAGGCATTTTGGTTTTTGGACCTGACGAAGACAAAACAAAACTCCGTAGAACACACTTGGTTTTCACATTTGTTTGACCTTCGTGAAACGGGTTTCTAATAGAATAGGAAAATCCCACGTTTTCAATTCAATTAAATAACCCTTGCGTTGTCATTGCTCGCCTGTTTTTAAGGAATTCCCACTATAACTACGAGACAGGAGTAATACTTTTGCTTTTCACTTTTTTCCTTAGAGCATGGGCAGTGGGGCAAGTAGGTGGGTGTGAGTCTTGGGTTGTAGGTATTAAAAAAACGAAAAAATTATCTCTCTCTTCACACCCGGGTGTAAGTTTACACTCGGGTGTAACACTTTTTCTCTCTATCTCTCTCTTTCTTTCTCTTTCTCTTTTCTCTTTTGCTTTAAATTATAATACTAAAAAAATACTTACACCCACACAAACACATTTGCCACTGCTTATGGTCTTAAGATGTGAACTAAATCATGGGGAGTTGAAATTACTTACTTATAAAATTGAGGTCTAGCCCACGTTTTCAATTCAATTAAATGAATTTTCTGTTTACGGTTATAGTTTTTGCTTGGATTCAATTGCTATAGTTTCTAGAAAGCTATATATATTGTATATATATAATATACGTATTTAAACTTGATTATATAAAGTTATTAATATGTCCGCTTACGATATACTTTCTCCGTTTCACAAAAACTATTGTTTTAAAGTTTTAGTCTTGTTTCACAAAGAATATTGTTTTGTGTTTTCGATGTAGTTAAATTTAAGACTAAATATATTTTTTTATCCCTACTATTTTATCTTATTAATTAGAAAGATAATATTATTTAATATATTAATTAAGGGTAGAAATGACATTTGTTTACTTTTCTTAATTTGTGTGATAAATGGTAGAATGACACTCTTTATGAAACATTACATTGATATAATCTTTCTGCATTTCATTGAAGGCATTTTCGTAATCTTCCCTACCATGTTACCAAAACTTGCAATGATTTATGCCGGTGCTACAAAACGCGCAAAAGCAATTTAAAAGGCTAAAAATTGTGCAATTTTCCCATTTAGAAATCCATCTTCTCCTTCTAAAGTATGAATTATTGGTTGTAGGCTTGTACCCTTAAAGATATATGGGTTTGAAAAACAAAGGTTATTGTAGTATTACTAAACCATTTTAACAGCAATTATCATATAAATACCGTAGTGACTAGATGTGTTTAATTGACAGAAAAAAAAAAAACTGATCAAGAAAACATACCGAACATTTATTAAACTAACGAAATGCTTTACATCGCAGGAAATATATAATCCAAACTTACAACTGCGAAAAAAATTCCATCTTAGATGAAACTGGTGAGGAAGAGTAGACTTAAACAACACAAGAACAAGGATCTTTTAGTGACTTAAGAACCTCCATACAACAAGCTTATCAACTTTAAAAAAAAAACACTTTCATGGAAAAACCGATTTTGGATTCTTCGGTTAGAGAAATTGGTGATGAATGTGCATATGTATGAAACGTGAAACCAATTAAGTGAGCTTTGATAAGCCACAACTCAAGTTCTTCATAACATCCTCGATTTTCATATCAAAATTGTTATTCTTCTGCAAAAGAATAAACAATATACAATTAGATTTTTCGAGTAATCAAAATATCGAATATTTAAGATAATATGCATTATCTATAGAACTGATTCCTTTTTTCACACAATATACATGTTCAATGCATATCTATTACAAGTTATTTTGTAGCTTGTATGAGAATATAGTTACCTGAGCGATAATAGAGATGTCAAAAGCGGGTCCAAAGGGCAAGACATTGCTGTTGGTGATAGACAAACCAAGCTTCTCAATTTCCCCCATAATCTTGATCACATTACCCTTTTGCTTCTCGCATAGGATCTTAATAAGAACATCTTTTCCCGAAACCCTAACTTCTATCTCTGGAAGATTTGAACTCGAGAAGTCGCGATTTGAGGAAGGTGATGATGATTGATGATTTTTGTCTAAAACTAGAGACTTCTTTAGAAGAACCATTGATTCCATTGTTTTTTCCTTCTTTTGTTCCTCATACTCTTTCACACTCTCTTGGAGGTACTTTATATGCTTTATTGCATCTCCCAACACAGAAGCCTTGTCCATCTATAATCACATATATGCATATTTCAATATATATCATGTAGATATATTTATATTTAACCAAAATGAATATCCATCAAGCTGAAACTACAAATGATTTATATAAAAATCAGAATTCTTATATATATGGAGGATTTTTAGTATATTTCGAGTTTCACAAAGTCCGTCCTGGTCAAAGAATTTAGTCTCATGACCGGGAGATCCAAAGTAAAAACTCAAATAAATTTTCATTGTTGGTATACGAAAAGAGAGAATAGTACTGTCCATGAAAATTGGTTTCTTGCCTAGCAATATAGAATGATTTAAGAAAAGACTACTATCATCTGGTTGATATGAGCCTCGTTAGTAAACAAGAAGAAGAAGAGGATATTTTTGGTTACATATGTGTACCTTCTTTAGGCCAGGAACTAGGGCTGAAAGAGCTACAAATCTTTGAGTAAGCTTCTCTCTCCGGTTTCTCTCTGCGAGTACATGATCTTGAGCATTTGATTGGCTTCGAGTCAAGGGACGTTGAGCCCTCTTTGTCCCTCTTATTATCAGCTCGGCTTTCTTCTGGTCTGCTAATCCAATTTCTTCTTCCTTGGTGCTAAATATTAAGTTTGAAGAGTTGTGATTCATAACCTTTAAACCCGTCTTTTCGAAAGAAAGAATCCTAGAAAAGGGCTGGTCCTTTGGAGGAGGAGGATTGGATGAAGAAAAAGGATGTAACTTTGGTGATATGTGAGTGGTCTTGAGGATCTTTGAAGGTTTCTCTTCGACCAAATCATCATTACAAGAAGCATCAAAGTTATAACAAGTGGTGGTATCATCAAGAGATGAGAGAGACTGTGGAACATCTCCGACGAGTGAGTTCATGTGGTATTGGTGGATGATACTATAGTCTTCTATATCCTATACGAAAAGCAAATAATAAAGATTCATGAAATTCGCCAAAAAAAAGTAGGTTAAAAGAACATGAATATAGATTTTATATATATACAAAATCATAAGAGGAAAGAGAGGCACACATAAATATGTATGTGTATATAGAAATATACCAATTCGGAGGACCATTTGGTAGAGAAAACGTTCATCGTTGTGGCCATGATTGCTAGCTTCTTAGTTAAGAATCTGAAAAATTGGTAATCATATGAGGAAACTATTAACCCAAGAAAATGAAATTATATTAACACTAGTATTTCTTGAATTCCAAAAGCTTCTTCCTAAATCTTTACAAGAAATTGAGAAATTTAAGCAGTCAAAGAAAAATGAAGTTGAAGTTTACCTTCTAGAGAGAGAGAGAGCGAGAGAGACTTGGTAATGGCTAAACGCGATTATATTTTTATACATATATACGACTCTGAAGTTTATGTGTAGGCGTGAAAGGCAATCAAATACAATTAGATATTGGTTGGTAATATTAACATACATTAGACTGATTGATACTGATAATACTCTCTCAAAGATCTTGATGCCAATGTGTATCTACTAAATATGAATATTTAGGATAGAATATATAGTGATAATTGTGCGAATTTTATAAGAATTTAAATAATATATTCCTTGGACGTATTTGTTTTTTGGGAAAATTTTCGAAAATATTATCCATTGGAAATCTCTCGAAAATTCTTCAGAAATATTAGTTCCTCGAAAATTTTCGAGGAATTTGAGATATATGTGGATTTTCGACTACTTCAAACCGACGATAATAATCCCTCTGAAATACGTCTGAAAAGCCCCTTTCTGAGGGTTTATCGACGGATTCGATCCTAGAAAATAGGTTGTTTTCCTGTAGTGTAAAAGCTAGTTATAATGTCTTTTTTTTTTTTACTTATATTAACAAGAAAAAGTACTTTTAAATATTTGATTTTACAAGACAAATAGACATATTGTATTTACACAAATAGACATATAATATAAAAGGAAAAAGAAAAAGAGAAAAAAGGAAGTAAGAGTCGGATCGTAATAAAGAGTCTTAAAGTGACGAAGGATCCTCAGAGGGCTTGCCAGTTGCCACCAAAGATACATCAATTAAGATCAATCAACTAGTTTTTTATTTTTTAGTTCACATCAATTGATCAACTAGTTAAAAAAGAATCTATCTCCATTTTGATATTATAATATTCCCTTCTTTGGTCGAATACTAATATTAATGTAGGGTAAGAAAAGATTACGAAATCTTCAAGAAGACCTAAGAATATCATCTTCTTAAATCTTCTCTATATATTGCCACCAAGAATGTATTCAAAATTTCAAACAATTAAATCTTGTTCATTTTTAACAACGCTCGCAAATTCATTATCAGAAATAAACAAAGAATTTGCATTCATCCGCAATATATGGTGGGTTCAATCATTGTTCATATATATAGAAAAATGTCTTTTTGTTCATTACTTTTTTCTCTGTTGTAAGTATTGCACCAACCCAAGATCTTCCCTTGATTTTTTTGTATTTTATATAGTATTGGACTATTGGTTATGACATTTTTATTTTTTGTTAAAACATTAACACTATGGTTAATTATAGGTTTGTAAACGTCAATTTCCGTTCGACAAATAGTTCGCTATTCTATCACTACATAGAAATCATCACTAGATTTTTCAGTATATCGCTCATTTTCTATTTTACTTTTTACCATACATTGGTAATACTAACATAGAACATGTTTATTTGCAATGAGTTACACTAAGAATATATAAGTGAAATATATACCCTTTAATTAGATATACTCTCTCTTAAGAAATAAAGTGCTTGTGAATATTTATTGAGAGAGACATCTGACTCTTTTGAGGGTCTAGTGTCTTGTGCAACCGTGGTAATCTAGGTTAAGAAAACTCATTAATTTCTTTATACATAGACATAAAGTTTTGTCTGGAAGTGTTGAAATAATCAACCTTTCAAAATAAAAGGCACGTGGGTTAATGTAATAATCTATTTGAGAAATGACAGGCCAGAGACAACTAATTTCTCGATCATTCTATGACCTCGCCCCATGATAGAAGCATCAAGCATCTTGAAATCATTATATATATATACACATGCACACATGATTAGGGTATAATTAAAAGAACTTTTTCATTGTTCAAGATTCAAGAATCAAGATGCAATTCTCTATAATGAAAAATAGTTTGATGGATCCGTATATCCAGTGTAACGTGAGAAATTGTTTTTTGCTATTTTCAATTCTCATCTATACAAACTAAACATGTGTTACTTTATTCGTATTGGTGCATAATTAATATTTTTTATAGCGGTCACTAAACATTTTGTCATAGGAGTAAATTTTGGAAAGTCAAACACTAATTTGGTAACGAAAAAAACAAATACAAGTAGACACAGAAACTCTTTATTATAAGCTTCTGCCATTTGTTACGTTTTAAGGGAATATTATTATTGTTATTATGCATGTCAGGATGTGTTGGTTGATGGATTTAGGGTCAAGTGGCCCTATTATAACTGGATTTGCTTTGGATATGATCGTACTGTTTCGTCTTAACTCTCAGGTCTTGACATAACAACGTCAAAAATGGTCTTGATAGTTTCAAACCTCAAGAACAAGAACAAGAAAAGAAGACAAGGGCATGCATGGACTCAGATTCTTGATTAATTAATAAAAGATATTGTATTCTAAAGAGGAACAAGATTTAGAAACTTAAAGGTGTTTATTGATTAATTAGTGGATTTTAATGGATTTGAAAATGCAAAAAAAATAAAAATAATGTGTTACTTAATCATTGATTTGAATATCTTTATCAAATCATGTCAGACAAAGAATCTGAAGGAAGCGTGTTTTGAATGTTGTAAGGCCTTAAAGATGTTGACATTAAACCATTAGCAGCAGTTGAGAATTGAGATGATCATCCTCGGAATCTGGTTGTGCCAGTGAAGTTCATTTAGTTCTTCTTGTCCCTTTGTTTTCCCCCAAAAAACGAAATTTTTAGCCCAAAACAAATGATCAAATGCACCCAATCGAGCTAATGATGCTAAACTAAAAATGTTTACTTGGTGAACAAAGAGAAGCTGAGGGGAGGCAAGTCTTGAGGTGTTTTGACTTGTTCCTTGGTCTGTGCTTTGAACTCTGCCTCTTCTTTATCATCATTCTCTTAAGGATAAATCACATTTTCGGTTTTAGGGGATTATCGGTGTATTCTTTGCAGCTTAATTGAGCTGGTTATCACTGGAAGAGACTTTAACTATTAAAACTTCATGTGCATGCACTCCATTCAAATGACGTGACAGGATGCTTATAGTACTGAAGATGTGCTGCCACAACATCTCACTCTAGCTCAAGAATCAAGATTCATATGCTATTACATCAGAATTCTTTTTTGATAAAGATTTTATTACATCAGAATCTTGTTAAGAGATTGCTACGGAAAATATAAAGCTACTGTCTTTTTTTTTTTAAAAGCTACGGTCTTTAACGTACTTTGATCAGTCTAAGATCACGGTTAGAGAAATATGTGGGATTGTACGATTATAAGTGTCCTTGTAGTTCTATACAACAAAAATGGATTTCTTTCAGTTGATCGATTTAATCAAATATCATAATGTCAAAATTTTAATAATGCATGGTTTTTAGAATTTTGCATTTGGGGATGTGTCTTTAATCAAGTGGTTAAGTCCATTTGACTCCGCCTTTCCCACCGGAGTTCGACTCCACTAAGTCGCGTTACTCCGCGTAGTAGGGATTGGCTATGGATCGGGCCTTGTCGATCCAAATATGTCAAAAAAAAAAAAAAGAATTTTGCATTTAATGTTTAGGTATGATTATATGTATTTCTAATTATCATTTTAAGAAAATGAAAATGTCAATTAAAGTAAGTAAAATACTATAATTTAACATTAAATTAAAAAAAATTAAAGTAAGTAAATCATCCGAATTAATCACATCGTGACCACGTTTCCTTCCACTTAGAGCATCCACAATGGTGCATGTGGGAGTATGGGTGTGAGTGGTGATTTATTAATAAAATAATGTAAGGGTGTGAGTGGTGAGTGGTGATTTATTAATAAAATAATGTGGGAGTATGGGTGTGACTGTGTGAGTGGTGATTTTTCTATGTCAAAAAATCGGAACCAACAAAACAAAGACACCTGTCCCTCACAACCGAGTGTAAACTAACACTCGAATACCAACTCCAAACTTACTGTTCTCTTATTTGTGTATATTTTAATAGTCACATTCACACAAAAAATAGACCGTTGTGTATGGTCTTATTGCCCAAATATATGGGCTCCTTTTTTTCGCTAAGTTAGAGCTAATTCTCAAAATCAAGTGATTAATAAGTTTCTTTTTTTTTCTTCCTCTTTATGAATTTATTTCCTACAAATGCTCAAAATTACCTAATTTGAGTTTGAGCTATTTCGAATTATGGATTTTTGGAAGATCTTATTGATATCATGTTGCGAAGCCAGAGATTTCTCCAACTAATGCATTCGAATTTGAAAAAATTTTAAGTAGAGGAGGTTTTGGATACAAAATATAAGATTTTTTTTTGACAAAATAAAAGAATTTAATATAGAGGAGGCCGTTGTAACTTGTAACTATTGAAAAATAAAACAAAAACTAAAGCCATATTTTATTGACTTTAGAAAGAAAAATGTGGAAAACTTTCAAACTGGATAAAAAAACATGCTTTAAAAAATTTGAATATTTTTACTATATACAGTTGTATATCTAAATCTTGCAACAACTAATTATGTTACAATTTTTAGAACTTAAAAAACTTTTTTTTCACAACTTCGCATTATTTAATGTTATATGTCTAATTTATTACGATTTTACTTGCACCATAATTCCAACGAAAAACATCTAATATGGCATTTATGTTTTTAGATATGATTATAATATTTTTAACTATCAATTACAAATATTGAACAGTTAATTAAAGAAAGTGAATATTCCGAAATAAATCACAATTGTGACCACGTTCACATTCACATCCACATCCACGTACTTTGTTTCCATGATCGTATATGCCAAATGTGTTACCATTTTTATCGCAACGTTAAAAAAAATCAATTCCTCAAATTAAGTGACCACCCATAATCTTTGATTTTTATTTCCCTTTTTATGTTGTATTTGCTCCTTAATTACCCAATTTCTTCTGATTCGAAAATTCGACTATATTAATAACTTTGAGAATTCGATTACCGAATTCGATTTCTTCATCATCTTCTTCTTCTCCACCATTTTCGATCGCAGACGCAGATCTTTCGCCGGTAAATTCCTCTTTCCTTTAATAATCTGATCGATTAATCGCGTTTCTAGAAATCGTTGATTGTTATTGTTTCTGCGAAATCGAATTCTGTAATTAGATTTGAGAATGAAACAGTTTCTTGTTTATTGAGTGAATTTGGTAGAATTGTGGTTTAAGAATCTGTTAAGTGGAATTTATAGTGATGAATTTTTTTTTTGTTGTTGTTGTTGATAGACTGTGAATGGAAATGGGTGTTATGGAGAATTCGATGGTGCATACGGAGACATCAAAGGTTAAGTCGTTGAGTAATGGAGAGGTTTTAGTGGAGAAACGAGGATTGTCAGTTTTGGAGAATGGTGGTGTTTGCAAGCTTGATCGAATGACGGGGCTTAAGTTTAAGCGGCGGAAGGTTTTTGCTGTGAGGGATTTTCCACCGGGTTGCGGGACCGGTGTGGAGCGGTTTGGGTCGATGGAAGTGAAGATTGCTTGTGAGAATGGGAATGTTGCTGAAGATGTTAAGGTTGTTGAGTCTTTAGTTAAAGAGGAGAGGGATGATGGTGTGGATGTATCAGGTGGAGAACTGGAAGTGGAAAATGGGAGTGATGTTAGTATGGCTGAGGCGGTGGAGGTTCAGCCGTTGAGCATTTGTTTGCCAGAAGGGGATGTGGAGAGAAGTGTTGAACAGACTGTGGAGGTTGCTGGGTCGATGGGACAGAGCTTGGTTCTTGAGAATTCGGGTTCTGGTGCTAGCAGCAGCGGAACAACTGAAAACATGGTGAGGGATGTTGTTGTTTATGCAGATGAGAGCAGTCTGGGAATAGATGATTTGGATTATACTGAGCCGTTGGAAATTGAGATGTCAGATGTTTCTGTTGCAAAACCGAGTCTTGTTGCGGGTAGAAGAAAGGCAAAGAAAGGAATTGCAGTTCATTCATCCTTGAAGCTTACCAAAAAGAACAACCGAGAGTATGGTGAAGGATCTAGTAAGAGGAACAGTAAGAGCAATATATATTGGCTTGATAGGGAAAGTCTGGATTTTCCTCATCAGGAAACATCTCGGGAGCTTCGGATACTAGATGTTGGTTCAAGCAGTGGTTCAAGCAGTGGTGATGATAGTATTCGGAACAAAGTTAAGGAAACTCTGCGTCTTTTCCATGGCGTGTGCAAAAGGATTTTGCAGGAGGATGAAGCAAAGCCTGAGGACCAAAGGAGAAAAGGTAAAGGTCTTAGAATAGATTTTGACGCTTCGAAGATTCTCAAAAGGAATGGGAAATATCTCAACTCTGGTACACAGATTTTGGGACATGTACCTGGAGTTAACGTTGGTGATGAGTTCCTATATAGGATGGAGCTGAACATTCTTGGTGTACACAGACCAAGCCAAGCCGGTATCGATTATATGAAATATGGTAAGGGCATAGTTGCGACAAGTATTGTAGCCTCTGGAGGGTATGACGACCATCTGGATAACTCGGATGTCTTGACCTACACTGGTCAAGGCGGAAATGTGATGCAAGTAAAGAAGAAGGGAAAGGAACTGAAAGAGCCCGAAGACCAAAAGCTTATATCAGGAAACCTCGCGTTAGCAACCAGCTTAAAGAAGAAGACACCTGTGCGTGTCATTAGAGGCAAACATAAGTCAACTTTAAAGACATCATCTGGTGGAAATTATGTCTACGACGGTTTATATCTTGTGGAAGATTATTGGCAAGAAGTCGGATCTCACGGGATGTATGTCTTCAAGTTTCAACTTAGGCGCATACCTGGACAATCTGAACTTTCATGGATAGAGGTGAAGAAATCTAAGTCAAAATACCGGGAAGGTCTATGCAAGCTTGACATCTCTGAAGGGAAAGAGCTGTCACCCATTAGCGCTGTGAATGAAATAGATGACGAGAAACCGCCTTTGTTCACCTACACGGTTAAAATGATTTACCCAGATTGGTGCAGACCAGTTCCTCCAAAGTCATGCGGTTGCACCACACGCTGCACAGAAGCCAGGAAGTGCGCTTGTGTGGTGAAAAACGACGGAGAGATACCGTACAACTACGATGGAGCCATTGTTGGGGCTAAGCTATTTATCTATGAATGTGGCCCGCTCTGCAAATGCCCTTCTAGTTGCTACCTAAGAGTCACACAGCACGGGATCAAGTTACCGCTTGAGATCTTCAAAACCAAGTCAAGAGGTTGGGGAGTGAGATCGCTTAAATCGATCCCTATTGGTAGCTTCATATGCGAATACGTTGGTGAACTCTTAGATGATAGCGAAGCAGAAAGAAGAATCGGGAACGACGAGTATCTCTTTGACATTGGTAACAGATATGATAACTCTTTAGCTCAAGGGATGTCAGAGCTAATGCCAGGGACACAGGCAGGCCGAGCTATGGCAGGAGGTGATGAGGCGGGTGGATTCACCATTGATGCAGCAAAGAAGGGGAATATTGGGAGGTTCATAAACCATAGCTGCTCGCCAAATCTGTATGCACAAAACGTATTGTATGATCATGAAGACAAGAGAATCCCTCACGTGATGTTCTTTGCACAGGACAATATACCTCCGCTTCAAGAACTCTGTTACGACTACAATTACGCGATCGATCAGGTACGCGACTCTAAGGGTAATATCAAGAAGAAACCTTGCCTTTGTGGTGCTCCCGGATGTAGGCATAGGCTCTATTGATCGATTCGCCTCCAACTTTTATCTCTGTTTCATTTAGATTCTTTCTTGTTTTCAGTTGGTTCTCTCAAACTTTTTTCCCATTTTATTATTCAGATTCTTCTTGTTTTATGTTGACGGAATCAACAGTTTATGTTAACATTTAGTCTTTATAAAGTTTGAATTTAGTCAAAAACCAAGTCTCTGTTAAAATTTCAACACAAATAGATTCCTATTTAGCTAAAGTATTTATGGAGTTAGAATCGATAGTTCTTGCCTTCTTGGGTTCTCACTTCCAGTTTCTTCTTGATTAAACCGATCTACACTGTTTATGAATATCCCTGGCAAAAGCAAAAATTAGCAATGAAAAGTAGTTCTTGATTTGGACCAGAAAGCTTTCATCATTTGAGTTAAAAGAATTGAGATTTATTTTACCTATAAACCATATTGCCGCAGCTAAGAACAGAATCGATGTAAGAATCAACGCGGTTTTTCTCCAACTGTTGATATGATCCTGCATATACAACAATGGAGCATTTTGGTTTCCGAAGGTTCTGATTGGAGATGTAAACAAGGGATATTTTACCTGAACGATACCGACAAGAGGCGAAGAAGGAACATCACCGAATATGTGAATTGCGACGGTGGAGATAGCCATTGATAATGGTCGTAAACTAGGTTTCACACAATGCAAACACACGTAATTCACTGGAGCCTGAAGAAGAAGAAAGACGAAGCTGTTCTTGATGAGCAATTTACATTACAACAACAATACAAGACTCCTTTTAAACGTTTTTTACTCTTTACCTGTGTTGCAAACACAAGAAGCTCTCCTAAGGCAAAGAGAGCGATGAAACCGTATAAACTCTTCAGGGTAAATGCAGTGAAGCAAAATACAGCCCCGAGAAATGTTGCTCCGGATAAGAGCTGAATCCAAGATTAAAGATAAAAACCTGAGTAATCCGAAATACTAGAAGAAAAGCTTCTTTTTTACCTTAAAAGCATTTGGAATTGTCGCAGTGACGCGATCAAGTAGAAAGCCTCCTGATAATGTTCCAACGATCCCACAAATGATAGTTACTGCCCCGAAGATCATATCCGCGTTTTTCTGTCATGATACAGTTCTTGAATCTTTCATGAAAATCCCAAAGATGAATTTGATTTGAAACAAGAGAAAGAGAATTTGATGAATGACTGTTTTACCATTTTATAAATATTATAACCCGCCTTTGGTCCCCAATATGAGTAAGCTCCTATAACAAAATTGTATGACACATAACCTGTTTTAAGGCAAGTGCATGTATCAATCAACAAAGAAGCCGATATAGTGTAAAAAGAAAAAAGGTTTGAGAATAACATTACCTAAGACATTAACAACAAAGACCTTTTCTTTATACAGAACTTTCATGTCTTTTGCAAATCCAGTAAATGATTTCAAAACCGCGTTCGCGTAACTTGACCTACCACAGTTGAAGTATATATAAGCATCTGGAAGAGAAAATAAAACAAAGATACAATGAAATCTACTCACTTGCTAGTTTCAATTGAGACCTCAAACTGATCATGCTCAATCTCATTACCAACCTGAAGACTTTTCGATGTCTCTGAGCCTGCAAAAGGCAAGTGTCACTGCACAATTGTATAATCAGAGCACATTAACATTACCATAGAAGAGAGATTAAGAAAATCACCTACTGATGGAGTCATTACTTCAATTGATCTAACCGTCTTTATCGAATCACTAGAAGGAAACCCTGTTTACTATGTTTCTCAGATCAATATCTTTAACATTTCATGCTTGATATATAACATAAGTCAAGATTTGTTCCTAACCTTTTAACTGCAAAGGTTTCATTAAAAAACCAAGAACAGCAAATGGAGCCATTAAAACAGCTTCACCCCAAAACGCATAGCGCCAACTAAAATGTTTTCCGACCTAAAAGCAACAAAAGTAATCACGGATTGCGTTTTTCGTATTTTTAAAAGTGTTTTGACATCAAATATAACTTACGTATCCGCCATAGACATAACCAAGAGCAACACCACTTGGTATACACATGTAAAACAGTCCCAGCCATGCAGCTTTCTATAAATAAAACAAGCTTTATAAAGATTGTGGTGCATTTGGTTTCACAAGAAGTTCAAAAAAAATTCAAACAGAGACCTGTTTTTGAGGAGCATTGTCATCTATAAATGGAGCTGCAAGACTAATGAAAGAAGCTTCACCTACACCAACGAACCTACGGAGTAATAATAAGAGTATTTGCATCCAATGACAAAAAATCGTATATGGCGACAACAAAACAAAATCAATCATAAGGTTTACTAACAAAACAAAACAACTTACATACGACATAAGACGATAAACCAAAAGGCAAAGGAACTGCCACAACCAAGAACTGCAATAGTCCAAACAGTTAAACCTACTCCAATAAGTCTAAATGGATTGAAACTGCACTAAACACAAACAAACCACTTTAATAAGTTTTTTAGACATCAATTAGAACAGGGAAAAATAACAAAATGAAAGTTCTTTCTCATTACCTTTTTGCCAATGAAGCAAAGATTGGTGATGCAATAAGAAGTCCAACCATAAATGAAGATGATAATACACCATCTTCGAAATTACTTAGGTTAAAATGTCCCCTAGAAGAAGCAACTTTTACATCAAAATAGCCCAAACTTAAGTAAAAAATATGTTGAATAATCATCATGATTCTACCCTGCATCAAAAAAAATATCTTACTGAATTCCAGTTGCAAGAGTGCATTTCCCTTTATCAATACAACTCCTAGTACTTCCATTGACACCGTTGCTCGCTATCGCACCACGATCCATGTAGTTTAACAAGTTAATGATGCAAAAGATCACTAGTAACCTGGAAAAGTATATTCAAGAAAATAATGATGCAGCAAGTAATCAAGAGTCTATGTCTCAAAGTCCAAACTCAATATAGATACCAAAAAAGTATCTTGAACATATAATTGAATGCAAAGAGATAGAGTCTTAAACAGAACAAAAACAAATAATCACTTTGCTTCATTTTTCTTCGAATTTCATGGCAAACAGAGAGAAAAACTAAAGAGTAAGTAACAAACAATATACCAAACGGGAGAGAGAAAGGAAGATTCGACGATTTCTATGCTTCGAACAGTCTCTAACTCCGCAAGAGGAGTAGTAGATGAAGAAGGGGAATAACATCTCGGCGTCTCCGTCGCAGGAGGAAGACAATCTTCTTCTTTGGTGACCATCATTTGATAACTCAAACAAAGTTCTTAGCAAAAAAAGGAAAAGGCAAAGAAATATTGGACTTAGAAAAAGTGAAATTTTATCAGCTAAAGGAACTAACTACACGTGAATAAAGATATATTCTTTTTCTCTCTGTTTCTTTTTCTTTATCATCCTCTCTGGTTTTACCAAAAGAATCCTCTGCTTTCACTAACTTGGAAGGTTTCCAACAGATTCCTTCGAGACAGAGATTCCTTCTTCGGAACAGGAAGCTCCGCATCATCGGAAAACAAAAACGAATAGTCTCTAGTATCCTAAAGAGTCTCAACTTTCCTTCTCACCTCATTCACAACTTTAGGCCGCTTCTCTTGTGATACAATCTTAGTGCCTGAACCACTCGTTGAAACAAGTCTTTTCTTCTTAAATTAACTCTTGTGTTAAGATTGAGCATTAGCACTAACTGAACCGGCCTAAACCGCTTGATTATCCAAATGATTCAATGTCTTTAGTATTGTTTCCTTTTTTTTTGTTTTTCCTTTTTTCAGCAGTATTGTTTCCTTTTAACTAGACTACAATTGTATATATAAATAACTAAAGATATACTAATATTACACAAACACGCGTTGAGATTAAGATTAGGTTGTGTCTGGATGGATCATCCTCTCACAGAAAGCCCTAGCGGGAATCAATCAATGAAGGGAAGATTTGCGATTCAGGAATGTAGTCAATTGGAATTGAAGACGACGAGGAATGAGACGGGGTTATGGTGGTCGCTGCCAGATGAGGTGGCTGTGGATATCCTGGCTCAGGTGTCGAGATTGGACCTGGTGGCATTAGCCATGGTCTCCAGGAGACACCGGTTTGTCTCAGAGTCCCATAATCTCAGGGCCTTTAGATTTCAGATGGGTAGCGTGGAGCCATATTTGTACGTATATATGCAGATGTATCCAGATCCAAGCCCACGGTGGTTAGTCCTCCACCCAGTGCAACGTCGGCTCAAACCGGTCCATTCGAGCTTGCTTCCGGCCCCGGAAGCAGGATCCTGTTTCGTGCAGACGGATTGGGGGATCTATATGATCGGTGGACTCGTGAACGGCAAGCCCACAACGGAAGTTAGGTTTTTTGATTGTATCAATCACACAGTGTATCGCGTTACGTCCATGAAGATGGCTCGAAGCGGAGCATCGGCAAGCTTGATAGACAAGAAGAAGATATACGTGTTTGGAGGGTGCTGGGATGTCGCTGATTCCTCAAACTGGGTAGAGGTATTTGATATGGAAACCGGAACTTGGGACTTGTTGTTCGTGTTTACGCCCAAGATGCCTCTCAAAATCCAACAAAGTGTGGTGTTAGACGACGACAAGAATGTTTACGCGGTGGATGAGGATGGTGAAACCTTTTCTTTCTCACCAAGTAACTGTATGCTTGTGACACACGGAATAACAGAGTCTAACCCGGAAAATAGAAACGATTGGCTTTTAGCTGAGGCATTATTCTGCCGTGGTGTCGGCGGGAGGATACTGTGGCGTTTACTAAATGAGAATGTTTGGAAGGAAGTGAAGGGTTTGGAAGAGCTGCAGAAGCAACACTGTGGTGGTTTTGATATCATCAAACTCTGCCCCTTCTCTGCTCAGAGGGTGGGCATCTTCTGGGAAGCCCGGCCTCAAGGTCCTGATCAGATTTTGGAGCTTTGGTATGCCGAGCTTTCCCTGACCAGACGCCAGGGAGGCGAGGGATGGGGGGAGGTTTGGGTGAACATTGAGTGGTCCGGTGCTGTCCTCTCACATAGTGGCGGCCTTAACTTGTTATGTGCTGCTTCTCTCTATGCCTGAATATTCTCAATCCTTGTTTTTATTTTATATCACATATAACTTGTTTTAGGTATCTTTTGTGTGTGAGATTTATATAATTTGCCAGAAAGCTTTACTCTTATGCTCAGAGAATCAAGTATTTTCGCTTTGAACATAGAACAGATTGCAACATGTTATTGATTTTTGGCTCATCTCTCTGTCTTTCCATTCTTCCTGATTTTGCTGTGTCCATTTCTGCTCCAATCTTATAGAGAAGCTGCGGTTCTATGTTCTACGCATTTCAAAACCTTGAAGCAGTTGTTAAAGCCTTAGAGAAAGCTATATACGCAGAGAGCGATTGACTTGAATACCTGGTCATGTCGATGCTTTATAGACTTTATATGGATTTAGGTAGGTTTCAGAGAGCTTCGGAAATGTACACTAGGATCTTAGCTGCATGGTCTTACCAAAGCTCTTGAGGAGAATTGCACCCCTAAAGAAGTCTGTGACAAGTAATGTTCTTTTGCTCTGCCCTAATTACCAATTCTTCTAGAACCTTCCAAAGAAACTTTGCCCTCTTAGCATCTATGATTTAGAGTAATTTTTGATGCTACCATGTATTTTTTGGGTGCATTTAGTTTATGACTGGTTTGATATAAGTTTTGACAAGTTTGGGCGAACTCTTCAACTACAGAACATACCCAAGTGTGCCAAGCAATTTTCAACAAGTTATGGGAAAACAAGTGCCTTTCAGAGGACTCCATAAAGCAGGTGAATATATGCTTTTTCTTTCTCATCAAATGCAAGTTAAATTTTAATGAGCCTTAGTTGATCGCTAGAGCATCCATATGATCTTCTTCTTAGGTAAAAGGATCTACAACGCTCTGTTTGTGTGGTTTTAAGTCTCAAGTCTCTTTGTGTCCCATTGTGTCTTCTTCAGCTTTACTGCGATACATGCAAGAAGTTCTTAGCTGACCAGCTTGTTGATCCATTCCAAGGGTGTAATCATGATAATGCTCGTGGGCCTGATCTCAGAACTCTGAGGTGCAAGGTGAGCTATGCTTCTCTCCTTTTATAGAGGTTCTTTTATTATTATAAGTTTTGTGAATAAAACTGAATACTTATGTTTTATCTCTCAAAACAGGTCTTTCAAAAAAAAAAAAAAAAAAACACAGGTCCGTCAAACTACACCTCAAATTCAGGACACAGACCACGAGACATATGCTACTGGGTCAGAAGAATAAGTTGGAAAAGTGTTAGACATATATGCTACTGGATCATGGAGTCAAAATGCTGTTGGTTAGTTAACAAAGCTTCAAGTTGGTCTTTTTTTTCGTCATCATCTTTAGCTTTGATATTCTTCTTCTTGCGTCTTCTATTTTTTCTCTTTTTCTTGGTGCAGCAGGATGGCTCAACAACTGAAATGGCAACTGAGGTTATTTTTATTTTCGATGGTATGAGTCTGTTGCTTTGATATCTATATATCTTGTTCTGAGTTTTCTTTGATGCTCTCTTATTCCAGCACAATGTGAGAGGGATACTTTCCATGTCTAACATAACAGTAGCCCCAACACTAATGACAGTCAGTTCTTCTTCACATATTCAAGACAACCCCATCTAAATGGCTCAAACACTGTCTTTGGCAAGATCAAGTGGGTTTGAAAAAAAGAAAAGTAAAACCTTAAACTGCTTGCAAAACCGGAAACTTTGATTACAAAATCGAAAATCGAAGATGTTATTTGGTACAGTGCTTGCACTTTGATTTCAAAATCAAAAACTTTGCATTGATTAATCAAGTAAATGGGTTAGTGTTACTATCCATTGAGACAAGTATGGTTGAAAAGCTCGATAATCTGAATTTGATCATTGATTTTGCAGCCAAAAATCTAAATAGAACTATCTTCTAAAGAATATAGAGGAAAGGTGTTGATTAATTCTTTTCGTGCGTCCATCTGGTTTCATGGTAAAAACTAAAAAGTAAATGTCTAATTAACCAAGTGAACAATATTTCTTGTGATTATTCGAGTCCTGATTAACCAAAAACAACACAAGTTACAATATCTTTTTGTCATGACTTCTTGTGAACTCATTTTTTTTTTTGACAATCCTTGTGAACTCATTTAAGAACATACAATACTCTCAAATAGGGAAAAAATCATCGCCTATTTTTTATTTGGCCGTTTAATACCTAATATTTTTAAATTGGAATAAAAAAAACATAACTTAATTATGGTTGGTATAAAAATACTTCATCTTTTAATATTTGGTAGATTCCAACATGCGACTTAACAGCCGTTAACGGGCGTTACGGAATCTTTTAACACCGTTAAATTTCAATTCAATGTATTAAATATATATATATACAATCTATGTATAGATTATTAAGATTGTATTGGCTTAGTCTAGTGGTTATACAAGAGTTAAACGTTCTCTGAATCCGGGATCGAATCCCACGTCCCGCACCGTTTGAAATTTGTTTTTACGATTTCTAATTTTTTATTTTCATTCTTCATTCTTCACAAACTATCTTCACAGTAAAACTACTCTTCATCTTTTTCTTCATAATCATAATCTTCATCTTTCTCCATCTCTCTGCCGGATAAATCGCTTGAGAACATGTTTAGTAAATCTAGAAATAACCGATTTGTTGCTTTATCCGTGAAAGAGATTTGTCAAGCCGCTGGATCTTGTTGCAGATCTGAAGATCCGGTTGCTTCATTTGGACAGAGAAGGAAGCCATCAGTCAATAACGGGATCAAAAGAAAACGATACCTATACTTTTCCACTAGACTAAGCTAATACATTAGTAATTTTTGATAAATAGATTGTATATATATATATTTAAAACATGGAATTGAAATTTAACGGCGTTAAAAGATTCCGTAACGCCTGTTAACAGATGTTAAGTCGCATGTTAGAATCTACCAAATATTCAAAGATAGAAGTATTTTTATACCAACCATAATTAAGTTATGTTTTTTTATTCCAATTTAAAAATATTAGGTATTAAATGGCCAAATAAAAAATAAATGATGGTTTTTTCAAGTTTTTTCCCTATCAAATACCTTGACATTTAAAAATAAAATCTTACTAAATCACCTAAATATCCTTCAAATTCACCTAAATCTCATCAATTTTCAAATCCACCAAATTATTTAAAATCATGTTCCATTACACCCCCCTTAATTTGAAAACACAAAACAAAAACAAAAAAAAGATAGGTCAAACTCTTTTTTGCATCAAGCTGCCAAAAAGATTAAAAGAGAGAACACTAAAAAAGATCTGAAGTCCTAAAAGAAGACAAAAGAGCTTAATGGCTCAGCTTCCTATTCTTTCTCAGTCTTTCTCTCCTTTCTTCTTCCTCTAAGAGCTTAAGTTCTCTTTCATCTTCCTCCCTTGCGATTCTCGCACTGCATTTAATCGTCATGGATCGTTAAGGAATATCGAAGAAACAAATCAATGAAACTTGTGATCAAAATTCTCATGTACCTTCGTCTCTCTTCCTTTTGGATATCTTCAAAGCCTGCTTCCATGTTTATATCATCATCATCATACCGAGAATAACTCTTGGGTGGTCTGAAATTGAAAAACAGAACCCATATAAGTATCAGGAGACGGATAAATAAATAAAAATGTAATGGATTTGAGAGTAAGAAGAAAGTTTGAAGCAATACTTACATCAACTGTCTAAGCATGTCAAAAGCTTCTTCGTCCTCTGACCTTCTTGCAGGCTTCTTCTTCTTCAGCAGCCTCCTATCATGATCTATATCACGCGAGGGAGGTCTCTTGGGCGCTGGTTTACTCATCATCTGTTCATATTACTTGACAAATTAGTGCCTTGGCTAGAGGAAGGACATAAGAGAGAAATGTGAAAGATCATGATCATGAATGATACCTGGTGTTTCGAGGTAGGCACTGATTGTTTTGGTATCATTCGGGGTGTGGCCACGTCTCGGGACACCTTTCTCTGTTCTACTACCCGTTGCCTAGGATCAGATGACATTGGTCTAGATGAGGACGGTCTCTGAGCACTTTGAAGAGAACTCTTTCCTCCCGAAATGGAGGGTTTTCTTTCCAATGGTAAAGGTCTTGCAGTCGACGCTGACCGACCAGGACCAACTCCATTGCTACTGCTCATCTGTTTCCTATGATCCACTGGCACTTTCGCAAGAGCTGATCTTTGGGAATCTGATCTGGAATTCGGTTGCCCATTCCGGTTGGCTGATTGACCATTCATTGTGGAACCTGAACCTGGTGGCCTCATGGGTACTTGACGGTTTGTCGACGAACCCGGTCTTTGACTACCTGAGGACACAGTCCTTCGTTGCATTTGGCTACCAGCGGAAGCCGGTCTTGAATTTTGCGTTTGGCTGCCTAAAGAAGCAGGTCTCCCTGAGACAGCTCTCGACTGCATTTGGCTGCCAGAGGAAGCCGGTCTTGAATTTTGCATTTGGCTGCCCGAGGTAGCCGGTCTTAAATGATTCATTTTACTGCCAGAGGAAGACGGTCTTGACTGATTCATATGACTGCCAGAGGATGACGGTCTTGAATGCCCATTCGCTGAAACAGGTCTCTTCTCCTGACGATGGGGACTGTGAGCAGTTCTACCATTGATACCTGATGATTGTTTGGGCCTCGCTGATAATTGAGCAGATCGAGCCTCTTGAACATCAGCAAAAAACCTGTATAAGTTATCTTCATGAAAATGGTATGCTTAAAGATCACAAATAGCAAACAAGAACTTCAAAAGACGCAACATACCAGAATTGGGAAAGGACACACTACGAGACAAAGATTCCTTCTTCGGAACAGGAAGCTCCGCGTCATCGGAAAACAAAAACGAATAGTCTCTAGTATCCTTAAGAGTCTCAACTTTCCTTCTCACCTCATTCACAACTTTAGGCCGCTTCTCTTGTGACACATTCTTAGAGCCTGAACCACTCGTTGAAACTGGTCTTTTCTTCTGCACCCCACAATTCCATCAGCAAAAACATCTTAAATGATAAACACAGAGAAACAAAGAATTGAGACACGTACAGTTTGGCTCGAATTCGACATTTTAGCTGTCCGTATCTCATTTTCTAGCAAGGATTTGCTTTCTTGTATAACCCTTGAGGAAATAACAGGCCGTGAGGGACCAAAGAAGGAACCAAAGCTGCATAAAAAAATCAATAAGCTCATCATCAAAACACATACCAGGATATTGTAATAATTAGAAAATGTAATTAGCCACCACATACTCATTATAAGGAAGTTTTCTTCTTCTCTCTTGTGAAGATTGAGCATTAGCACTTCCTTTTCCCATGTTCTTCCTGATAGATTCCTTCAACTTTTGACGCAATTCTAGATATTCCAATTCTTCCTTAGGAGGTTGTCTTTCTTCTTCCTCCTCCTCCTCATCTTCATATTCATCCTCATCACCGCTGTAATAGTCTTCATACCCAGCTTCCTCGTCAAGGTCCTGTAATTTAACATATCGAATCAGATGTCAGATCAATATGGCTTAAATGTGAATTCGACTAAAACAATGAACATAATCACGCGCTTGCTTACATGCTCATAACCATGCATGTTTGCTTGAAGATAGCCTACCAATTAGCAAATCCCTGCAAACAAAATCTCCATTAAACGATGCTAATCTTTTTTTTAAAATCGAGATTGCAATATTGACCAAAACACAGAAAACTCACAAAATCGATCTCGTTTCCAGAAAATCTTCTCAATTCAATTCAAAAACTAAAGAAATCGAGATCGAAAATTTAACTGAAAACACACAAAATCGATCTCGTTTCCAGAAAATCTTCTCAATTCAATCCAGAAACTAAAGAAATCGAGACCGAAATTTTGACCAAAAACACAGAAAACTCACAAAATCGATTCCGTTTCCAGAAAATCTTCTCAGTTCAATCTAAAACCAAAGAAATCGAGATCGAAATTTTGACCAAAACACACAGAAAACTCAAAAAATCGATTCCGTTTCCAGAAATCTTGTCAAATCAACCGGAAAATATATAAAACAATCACCAGATCTCAAATCTGATCGAAAATAGACGAATCTGATCGGAAATTTACAATTGACATACCTAGATTTGATCTGGGACCGATGAAACGACGAGAAAACGATGAGATCTGACGAATCCGATGAAACGACAAGAAATCGATGAGATCTGACGAATCCGATGGAGAGAAGAAAGCGAACGATTGGGAACGAAGAGAAAGCATATAGATCTGAGAGAAGAGAGAAAGCTGCGAAGAGATAAAAAGGGATATAGAAGAAGAGGAGAGGGGTACTCTCGTTTGGATTTAGGTTTTGTGGGGAATAAAGAGGAAGAGGAAGAAAATCAAAGGACCCTGAAGCAAAATTAGGTCTTTTGCTATTATGCGCCATGTTGTTGCGCCTCTCAAACATTCTCACTTGCATATCTCTTTAAATGGGAAATTATTTAAAATTTATGATTTTTTGCCTTATTTAAGGATTCTTTTTGTTTGGTTGGTAAGAAAAAAGATTTTTTTCCTTTTATATTTTTGGTAAAAACTAAAAAGATTGAGAATCCACCGGGAATTTTCATCCATGGTGGTTTAAAGTTTAAACGTAGTGGTATATAAATTCGATTTGCTTAAATAAATATTTTAAATTAAAAAAAAAAACAAAGATTAAAAAGTTTATAGAAAAGTATTACGCAATTTCCAGAGTTTTATTATTACAAAAGTTATATGTTTCCTTTTCTATAAAATCTAAAAAGAGAAAAGAGTTATATGTTTCCTTTTTTCTGTTCTTTTTTAAAATCTAAAAATTATATGTTTCCTTTTTATCCTCTCTTACCTCTCCTACTTCCAAAAATTTGTAGACCTCTCCTTTTTTTTAACCTCGTCGTATTAATAACACAACGGTAAACAGTTTTTAACAGTAATAAACGGTAAATGATATCAAAATAATTAGAAGATGCAAGATGTAGCAGTAAAATATAGCGGTACAATAAAAAAAAAAACCGAAAATATCGTTTTTGCTATTACTAACTTTTGATTAAAAAAAAACTTTTGATTAAAAAATATATATATATTTTAAATTTTCATATTTTAAATATTGATTACAATTCAACCTTTTTTCGTTTCACAATCATTTGCGTTTTAATCCGCCCTTTAGTTGGTATGGACTAGTGGGCCTTTTAATTGGGTTTTCTAGGCCCAAATAATGACATTGTTGGTCGTCTTATTCAAAGAAACCGATCAAATCCAACGGCTGTGATTAATCTTCAAGATCAGAGAGATTTCAAAGAAACTGAAGAAAGAAATCGAAATCTGCAAATTCATCTTCTTCTTCTTCCTCCGATTCATCTTTCTCCGTTTCCGGCGATAACCTTCATCGATTCTTCAGGTACATATGTTTTCAGATTCTTTATGTGTCTCTGACTCTCGACGGTTTCTTTAATTTGTAAATTCTTCTTCGCTTCATCGACGGTTTCTTATTCGCGACCTCGTCAGATTCTCTCTGTTTATGATCTTTTGATTCCTAGATCATTTGGCTTAGAGGAACTATCAGAAATGTTTGGTGTTGATGAGTCGATTAGATTAGATTAGATTTGGTTATGGAGATTATCTGAGACCTTCTTTGTTGATACTTGTTTCTTTCTTTCATGTAGATTTCTCAGTGTATTTGATTATCGTGGAATGGAGCTAAAGAATGTGAAGGATGCGTTTGATCGTGTTGCCAAAAAGCAGAAGCTTTGCTATAGCAAAACGCAAGAAGTTGTAGATAGACTGTCTCAAGAAATCAACAAGGCATTGGATACGATACAGGAGGATAATCATGAATCTGTTGTTGCTGATCTGAAGAAAACTTTTGAGGAGATTGCTCCAATCAATCAACTAGAAGTGTCTCAGAAAGAAGTAAATGGTGCTCTGACCAAATATCCGAAAGCTTTGGATAAAACTCTGAATCCAGATATATCGACGGCTTATAGAAACGTCGAGTTTGATACTCGTACCGTTCACCAGATAATAGCTCAGTTTTTCTACAGGCAAGGCATGTATGACATTGGTGATAGTTTCATTTCTGAGATTGGTGAGTCTGAGCTTGTTGAATCTTCTGTTACGAAAGCCTTCATGGAAATGAATATGATACTTGAAGCCATGGAGAAACGAGATCTCGGACCATCTCTTAAGTGGGTAGCTTCAAACTCTGACAAGCTAAAGCAAGCAAAGTCAGATCTTGAGTTGAAACTTCACAGCCTTCACTTCCTGGAGATAGCAAAAGACAAAAACTCCAAAGAAGCTATCAACTACGCGAGAAAACACTTTGCTGCATATTCAAGTAGCTGTTTACCTGAGATTCAGAAACTCATGTGCTCTCTTTTATGGAACAGAAACCTCATAAAGTCCCCATACTCAGATTTCCTCTCACCTGTATTATGGACCAACGCTGCCAAGGAACTAACCCGACAATACTGCAAACTACTTGGTGAATCATCAGAGAGCCCTTTAAGTGTAACAGTTGCAGCTGGTTCACAAGTTCTACCAACGTTTTTGAAATACTTAACCGTGATGCCAGAGAAAAGACAAGAGTGGCAAACAATGAAGCAACTTCTTGTACCTGTGGAACTCTCTGAAGAGTATCGCTTCTACTCGGTCTTTGTCTGTCCTGTCTCTAAAGAACACTCAAGTGAAGAGAATCCACCGATGAGATTGGGTTGTGGTCATGTCCTTTGCAAGCAGTCTATCAACAGAATGTCGAGGAATGGATCAAGGTCGTTCAAGTGTCCTTATTGTCCAACAGATATTGATGCTTCGCAGTGTAAGCAGTTGTATTTTTAGAGTAGTTTTAAAACCCTCTCTTTTCACAACTTCTTATGCTGCATTTCTTAAAGAAGGTAGACAAATGTTTGTGGTCATTTTTTTTCTTCTTTCTTTTATGAACTTGAATTGAGTTCGTGTACAAAAACTATAGTTTTAAACAAAACCTTTATATACCCATATGGTCTTTGGTCTACTGGTCTTGGATTTTTAATGACAAGAAGATCCGTTATCGCGCGCCACCTTTGATCACTTGCCGAGACAGAATTTACCGAGGATTCCTCGCTAAATTTGGACACTTGACCGTAAAACCAAAGATCTACAGCCACATTCATCTTTCGAACGGATGCAGCGGACGTAAATACCAGCTCCGGAAGTCCCAACCATCATCGTACGACCATCATTCATCGTTCACTCACTCACCAATGTATTGATTGTCGAATATCATTATCTATACGAAAATGGAATACCACAAAATCATAGTATATGTTTTTGTAAACGTTAAAATTTGGTGCGTCAAAAAGAAAACACTTTTAAAATTTGGTATATCATTTTTTTTTTTTTTTTGTCAAAAATTTGGTATATCATTCACTTAACTATACAAATGATACACCCCAAACTCTTTATGTTTAGAGAGCTTTTTGATATTCTTATGGATGGAAAAAGTATATTATAAAAATTAAAAAGTTATTAGTTAAGATAAATATTTAGACTCATTTTGTCATGTTGATCATTTCAAAACTCTCCTCTCTCCACTAACATAAATTTGTGAATTACTTTTTGCCTTTAGTTTGGCTTTTGGTCTTACATAATTTAATACGTGTCCATGTATATACTAAATCTAGAAACTAAAAATTAAAGATCTCTTAAAACTTAAAGAATGAAATTAAATCTTGGACTTGTTTGGATATTGTATGAACTTTTAGATATAGCCGTGCGTACCATTATTACATCTCTTTAGTGGAACGCACCATCGCTATCCAAATTAAACGTACCAAAAACATTTACTTTCTAAGGCTGTAAATGGTGACTTGTATGTAGCCGAATTCTTGTGGAAAAGTGGAGGAATTTATTAATGTTACATCAGTTGAAGCAGCTGAATTCTAGTAGAAAAGTGGAGAATTTTTTTTTTTGTGTTGCTGGGTTTTTTTTTTGTGTCACGTGTCACTGAGTTTTTTTGGACAAAACATGTTTATTCATTTGGTCTTTGTTGAAAATTTTCAAAAAACTAGAATAATTTATAAACAACTTTTCGAATACTCATACTATCAATAATATTTTTTAATAAACTAAAAATAAAATAAAATACTTTGATCATTAATAATTAAAAAATACTAATAAAATATATTTGTAACAGTTTTTTGTTCTTTATATCATTAATAAAATAATTAATAAAATCAGTGCTATATTATTCATGTTCAATTTGTGAATTTTAAGATACCTGATTTTAATTTAAATATTTTATGGTTTTATTTAATTATTATGTTTATGAAATAATTGAATAGAATAACATAAAATTTAGTCAAACATCTATCCTTATTTTGTAATAAATTATAAACTTTTTCATTAAATTCAACTTTTATCTTATGTTTATGTTTGATAAAGAAAAATGTATCAAATTTATGATTAGATTTTATATTTTATGAGTTGATTTAACTAAACTTGTTGACAAAAATAACTATTTAACTAATATTTACAATTTTAATTAACTAATTATTTTTAAAAAAATTCAGCCAGATTCAGCCGTTACCATTTACACATTCAATTATTCAGCCAGATTCAGCTAAAAGTCACTATAAAATTCAGCCAGATTCAGCAATTCAGCCAGATTCAGCCGAATTCAGCGGTTACTATTTAGATCCAAGTATTTTTCTGCCTTTTATTCTCTTTCTCTCTGTTTGACTAAAAGTTACAAAAAAAATAAAGTTGGGATACGTTAGTCGGGCTAATAAAATTAAAGTATATAACACTTAGGCCAATGATTATATGTGAGTTTTGTATTTTTAACAAAAGTGATATTTTTTAGCAATTTATTTTCTAGTAGTTCAATAAACTGATTGAGATAGAATCATAGACATGTGACTAATTGACTTATCAAAATTGGTAAGATAAACTTACATTATCGTCGTAAATATTTGGTATTTGTCATATTAAAAAAAAAAAAAAAGGTTTGATTGATCAATACTAGTTATACCAACGATTTCAGAACGGATAGTTCTCTCTACAACATACATCAAATCTACGATAGATAATTTAAACAACTTTTAATACACGAGAACACAACGACTGATTTATCTACAATAATACACGAGACCACGACGACGGATCTATCTACAACAAGTTAAAATTTGTATCCATAATCTTAAAGAATTGCATTATGTGTAAATCAGATCTCCTATCTTGTGTTAAAAGCTCACAAAATTAAATATTTGTTCAAAATTAGACATAAATCAAGGGGCTTCTTTTTTTTTTTTTGTCAACATCAAGGGGCTTCTAGGTTTACAACAATTAATCTATCTAAGAAGTTGTAAATTTTCTTTAGTTAATTTTGAAACTAATATATGTTAATAGATGATGACCGATTAATCGATCTAACTACTGTTTTTTTTCGAAACACATATCTTATGCGATTAATTTACTAAGAAATTGTGAAAACATGATGCATCTTGTGCGTTACGCTGCGCAGCGACACTCAAAAGAGGAGGTGAAACTAACAATCATAGTACTATGAATTAGTGTGAAAAGCCTACGAAACAAACAAAAAAAATGAGACAAATTCCGCCGTTAAAATGATATCATAAACTCAATTATTAGCATTGCAATCATATTAATAAGGCTTCTTTAGAATTGTTTATTGCTGATTTATTGTATTGCTTTGAAAATATTTTGTTGACCATCATTGGATACAACGAATTTAACTAGTGTGTAGCCGCGAAAAGGCTACATCCTTGTTTTTGACTACATTTTAGTATTTATAATGTACTACCCATTACGAAGAAGTACACATAGAATATATGCTCTGTCTATAAAGTTTCACTTTAAACAATTATAAAGCAAAAAAAATATTCTCACAAAAGATTGATTAAATAAAATAAAAGATCATACCATGTTCATCATGATAAATGTATGTTAAAAAGCATTTTAAATGCCTATAAAATTTATAACAACACTAATGGAAGAGCTCGAGTCATATAACACGACTTTCTCAGAGCTTGTAAGACGTTTATTTACAAGATTTTAAATATTAATGATAACTTTTTAATTGATTTGGTGAAACCTACTACCTAATGCAATGTCCCTAACAAAAATTGTGTAATCAACTTTAAGGTGAGAAATGAAATCATATAATAGCTTAATGTTATAAAGATAACTATCCAATCTTATCATGTGACCAAATATAACTCCATTTATGCACCATTTCTATTTGTTTGTATCAGATTATTATTACACAAGTTCTTACTCTAATTAAGGAAATATATTTAAATACATAAATAAAAAAGCTAAAATCTAGCGTTTTCGAAACCATGCAAGTCACTGACTCTGTTCATATGTTTCCTCACCATCGCCACTTTAGCCAACCTCTCCGCCGCTTTCCAAGCCGACGTCGGAGTAAGCGACTCCATACTCTCCGATGCTGCCACGTGTCTTCCTCTCACACCGTTAAGATCAGCTATCTCTGCGTCCAACCCACGTATACAAATGTCGCTCGAGCTCAAACCGTGCTGCACAAGCAAAGCTCTAGCTGACGTCAGCAGTCTCTGAGCTCCGGAGTAATGGTTGCGCTCTATTAGCCGCCGAGACTCCGCGATGGCTCGAGTGCTGACGTGGAGGTTTCTGAGCCGTGAGATGTTTGGATTGGTTGATGATCGGACGGTTAGAGGAGTAGGTATCAAAAGCGCGCGATCTTCGGGGGTTCTTAATTCCTGAGTTGTTGGATCCACGTAACGAGATCGAACGGTCATGATTTTGTGAGATCTATTACCGGTTAAGGAATTGTTAACCGGTGATTTGATTTCAACCAGCAACGCTCTTTCTTCCTCCGCGTACATATCACCTAACCGGATTGAACCGGTTCCAAGCCAAGCGGGTCGACCCGAAAGAGAGTAGACAGCCGTTATATCTCCCTGACCCGACCCGGATATTAAACCAAGCTGTAAACCGAGATCCTGAACCGACAAACTCAAATAACCGTTGATGGTCCTCGCAAACGCGTCTTCGGGAAGCGTGTGGCTTAGCCATATGGTGTGTATGGGGATTCTCGAATGGGCTAATTGGGCCGCTTGATGGGCCTGACGGTCCGTTGAAACGAAGACGGTGGTGAAAGGGTTTTTCTGCCGGCGATCGTCTAACACCTTAACCGCTTTCTTCAACGCGTCGTTCACACTCATCCCTTCGCCGGAAAAATCTACGGATCCCGGAACGGTGATGATATCGACGATTCTTCGCGCCGATCTTCTTCCGTTAGCCGTCATCCTCCGTAACGGCGATAACCGTTTCGAGCTCGACGAAAACGCGATAATCGATAAACGATCCGTTTCCCGGAGATTCGAAATCACAATCCTCATCGTTCGCTTCAACGTCTCCAATTTCTCACCGGGATTTCTTCCGCTCACGTCTAAAACAGCTACCAAATCAACCGGAACTCTACGCGTAAATCCACGCGCCGTCGGAAACGGTGGCGATTTCACCTTCATGACGACGGAATAAGTCTCGTAGCCTTTACCCGCCGCAACGATAGCAGATTCCGGTGAAAGCTTAACGTCCACGTTTCGATCCGTTAACAACTTCGCCGTTAAAGGTGACGGAGTATTAACGGAAAATCCACTGAACTCCTCGCCGTCTTCGTTCTCATCGGATTCAAGTATTGTGTGAAATCCGGCAGGAGATATCGGAGATGAAATCAAAGCTTCGTCGTCGTTGTAAACCCTCAACGACTTGTTCTTAATATCCGGTTTGATTTGAGATTCCGGTTTAGCGTAATTTCGAATCTCAGGCAAAAGCGAAGATCCGCAAACCGGACAAGAAGCAAGACGGTTATGATTCGCGGCGGCGCGTGAGGTTACGCAAGGAAAATGAAACGTGTGTGAACACTCCGCCGTGAAAATCGCCGTACCTTGGCCTGATTTCACACTCTGTAAACAGATTCCACATTTGTTGTCGCTACTCTGCTCAAATCAAAAATCAAAACAATTAGCCCTAAAAATCAAAATATTAAGAAACAAAATTTGAATCGATGATTTGTTTTTTACTTTGTTGAATCGGAGTTTGGATTTGAGAAGAGAGAAGCTCGCCGGAGAAATAGGAGAAGAAGAAGGTGTTAAAAGAGAGACGAGGCTTCTGTTTCTCGGAGTAGTTTCTCCGGTGGTGGTTGTTTTGCACTTAAGCTTCGGAGTTCCGGGAAGAGACGGAGTAGTAGTGGTGACGGCGGTGGCTGTTGAAGTCCGGCAACGGAGGCTGTAAGTTCCGGTACCAGAATCAGAACGAGGCGTGGAAGGAGTTGAGAAAAAGCCAAATCTAGAGGTTGATTTGTGACGGAAACGTTGATTTTCCGGTGAATCTCCGTCGTCGTTGTTTTGGTTTGTTTCTCTTGGTATGGAAGTGCAAAAAGCTCTTCTCCAGCCTTTTATCATTTTTTGCTTCTTTCTTCTTCTTCTTCTTCAACCTCGTGACTGAGATTTTTGGTTTTGGCTCTGAGAAAGAGATTTTAGAGAATTGCAGAGAGATGGTGGGAGAGGTTGAATTTAAAAAGGAGTCTTTTTTTTCAATTATAGTGGAAGATTTGGATATTGGGATTATCTATATTATTTTTATTTTATTTTATAGAGAGATTTAAGAAATACTCCAATTGACTACCTAAAAAGCTGTAAAATTTTTAGAAGTTACTCTATTTGTGTAATTGCTTTTCTACTCCATGGTTAATTATAAGTAAATGATTGATTTTGGTATTAATCTCTTTTTTCAACATGAACTTATTATGGCCTATATATAGGCATATAGCCCCCACTCATTTTAACCTTTTAAGAGGATAAAGCTTGTTTAGCACCTAGTTTAAAATTTTTAAAATTATATCATCACTTAATATAATATAAAAATAAAACAAATATTTAAATTTATCTACAACATACATTCTATTACAGTAGACAAATACTATATGTATGTACTAAATAACTATACTAGTTATAAAAATTTGTAAAATTACTTTTAACTTTACAATCATACTCCAAAGTCCAAAGTTATTTCACAAAATAAAATAATATTGTATAAGTTATTTATCCAATTTCACCTAGTTTTATATGATATCAAGTTATTTTATCAAGAGACACATTATTATTACATACTCTATCCGTTTCAAAATATAAAATGTTTTAATTAAAAGCACGTATTTTAAGAATATCCATTTTTAAAAAAAAATTAACCAATCATGAACGAGACCGCATAATATAAATAATAAAAAATATTAAATTAATCTATAATTTATATAGAAACCTGAAAACATCTTATATTATGAAACAAAAAAAATTCCCCAAAACATCTTATATTTTGAAACGGAGTGGCTATTATTTTATCCGATAACACGTTATTTAGTAAAATAACAAAATAACAACAAATATGTAAGAAACACAGACAACATTTTTGTCAAATCGTGTAATATTTTGGCTATCTAACAAAATTACCTCTAGAAAGTGAAAATGAAGCTTGTTTAGCACCTAAATTTTTCTTTTTAGTAATATAGGTTTTTTTTTTTTTTAGTAATATAGATTTATAAACCTTGGGCTATATATATGCTATTATAGCCTACCGATCAGTCTAATCTTCGTAGCTTTTTTTTTTGGTAAGTGTCTAGTCTCGTAGCTGGTAAAGAAAAATTGACAAACTAAAATTTAGGATTAAAATTTTTGACTGTGTAAGTAAAATAATTGTTATCTAGGAGAATCATTTGTTGTTTGACCATTTTTGTGTAACACTATTGAATCTTTGACAGAATTTAATGTAGTAGATGGGCAAATATGATTGGGTTAATACAGTGCAGTGAATGTGTATAAATGAATTATGCATAGAAGATATTCGATTATTGGATCGATCTATGGATGTGAGCCATTTTTAACTTGTTTATATATCATCGATCCTTGTAAAACATTTAATGTTCGAATCAAGACTTGATCCGATAAGCCATCATCATTCATCACCTGGTGAATAGAAAAATAAACATGTTGCGCACCACTAGCTATAACAATAATACCAACTACATTTGTTCAGCTATTTATTGCTAAGCTGAAACTGAGGTAATGTTAGTATAGTGATAATAACGGTGTATGCAGTAAAAAATGTTATAGGTGATGAATGGTTTATCACAGTATTATTTTGCAACTTTGGATTCGATGAAACTCTTTCATCTATTTTCCTAATTGTTTTGTCTCCTTGTTTTAATTTTTTTGCCAAAGATTCAAATCCAATGGCTCCTACTTTGTAAAGCCAAACTTTTTCATTTTTCAATGATATTAACATTCATAGCAAAAAAAAAAAATAGAAAAAGGGTTTTTCTTTTTGCTATTTTCTACAAACATTTATCAGATTTTTTGTTTTTAAAAAGTAAATTTGCTACATACAATACAACTACTTCATGGTAGTCTAGTAATGGTTGAAAATTTTGTTTTGGATTTAGAGACTAGAGTTTTAATTTTTCTACTGTAATTTCAATCATAGTTAGCCATTATAAACTCATTAAATCTCCGTAAATTTTCATAGTTTTTTTAATGGCCAGATATACTAGTATGATATAAATGAAAATAACTAACATAGTAAAATGTTATTAATTTGTTAAAACAATATTTTTACGTTTTATGACTATTCTACAAAATCTTTGTTTTTTTTGTTTTGAAATACAAAATCTTTGTTTATCTATAATATTTATCTTCCTCAATCATTTGATCCCTAATTGATCCATATGATTTATCTAATATAGATGGGTTAGGTTCAATGGTAAATAAAAATAATAAAGATTGGATGTACAATTATAATTGGGGAAATGTTAGAAAAACTAATTCAGGTTCGATCCACTTTAGAAACACAAATCATATTTGTGTGGAAAGTCTGGACTTGAGTTTTGGTCCAAGTAATTCACATGGTATCCGAGATTAAGCTAACTAGATACCCACGGACATTAGTCGGAAAGCATTCTAAACTTGGGATTAGGCAGTGTGGCAGTCCAACACCTAAATATTGGCGTCGAATCCACGTGGTAGCATTTCGGTGCGTTCTCTCTGAGACTGACCAGATCAGCTGATCGGATATATATAAAAAAAAACTACAAACTACAAAGTAAACACTCTATTTTTTTTTGTCGACAAAAAGGTACACACTTAAATAAATCAAAAAGCTACATCTAAAAAAATACAAATCTCCAAGGACATAAGAGCATGTTTATTGGTGAGATTTAGTGGGTATCAGCCTAATAAAAAGAATAAAAAAAATCGATTTTGGGCTTGATATTGGGTGAAACGTCTCAATTCACTGAGACTTTTGGATCGGTTCTTCTTGGCCACGTGTGACGCATTCATTGGGCAAAAAAAAAAATCTGTGTTTATCGTTTTATCTCTCTTCTCTTCGTCTCTCTCTTCTCTCCGTTTCATTTTTTTATTATTATTTTAGTGATATCCATTGAGTTTCACCATTAAACATACAAATTTAACAAAAATCTTTTTGAGTATCATAGATTAAACAACTAATTAAATTAATATTAAAAAAATTCTAATGATACTCAAAGGGGTTTATTGATAAACATGCTCTTGTGTTACTATCAAATAAAAACAAAAGTCGACCTACGACTATAAAGAAAATCAATGCTATAGAATATGGTACGAGTTAAAAAATAAAGTGATCGGCAAAAAAACAAAAGAAAGATAATAGAGAAGGCATCAATAAATGAATTGATAGTGAATGGCATGGGAGATAGGACGAAGATCCCCAGAAACCAATTTATTACAGAGACGCCAAAAAAAAACCATAGCTACTGTTTTAGTCTCTGTACTCTTGTGTTACTTTTATTAAATTGTTTGTAATAGGTCGGTCCAAATATTTTTTTTTTAATTTATCTCTATCCCATCTTAACTATTTATTGATACGATACCTATCACTTTTTTCTCCTAACTTTTTTTGTTTGTTTGTCTGTTTTGTTACAGCTTTTAACGTACATTTGCATGCATACCTACGTGTTTGGCTATTTTGTAGTATGTTCTAGGACCAGACACATATTATTTGTGTAGTCTTAAGCTACTTTCATAGACTAATCACACTTTGACTACTATTATGCTAATATGGTTTCTTGCGTTTCGAAAATACCAAACGTATTATTGTCATAATTTCATGCAAGCAAAGTATTTGAGGAGGGTCGAACACCAAACAAAATGCAAATGTTTTATCTAAAAAGTTATACAAAACATATAGATTACTGAAATAAAATATGAAATAACTGTCTGTCTATTGAATATGGATGATGAGACTACTAATTTGTAAATTGTAATGTTATGTTAGTCTCATAATGTATCTCTGAAGCTTGATCATCTGCCTTGTGTCAGGCTAGTGCGTGATTTAAGATATGTACGTAGGAAATTATCTATTACATTCTGAAACAACTTCTCAATTCGTGCTTACCAGATGAACCAAATATTTGCCAGGTTTTATATATATAATGGTGCCAGCAATACTAATCCAATTTGAACTTCTTACCAATTGCCAGGAAGGACATATCTTTCTACTACAATGACCTCATTCAATAAGTCTTTCTTCTATTCAGCTGGTTCGACCTTAATTAGGATTAATGTTATATGTATAAAGACCCAACCAAAGTTATTGTGTTATGATAACAACCAAAAATATTGTAGGGAATATTTCTCCTAATACTCTATTTATTATTTTATCATAGCAAATGTTGCACATTCCCTATATATGTTGCATTAGATTTTGTTTGTTTTATCCGGTTTCATGCATGTGCTTCACCGAGAAAAAAAGAAAAACATATTAGCAAAATTCAGATCGTTTTTTTAGATGTATTTAATAACCTGAATAGGCGATCAAGTGTAATTTAATCTCATTTTTAGCATGACTTAGTGAAAGGATTTGACCGACTGGCCATTGAAGTCATCTATCTTTTGACCTTTCAATAAGATTTGAAAATTGTCTAAATACTTATAGTACTTTCTAGTTTCTAAAACTATCTATATATATTGCCTATCACACTATTTTTGGGCATCTTTTCACGGTAGAAAAATACATTTTATACTATTTAATTCATACTTAAACTGCTTAATCTGTATTTTCTGTTCTAACTACACTTGTTTCGTCTGACTTACATATAGTATGAGATGGAGTGATTGGGTGTCTAGTAAGTTATAGTATTCCATCATTTTTAAAAGGTAAAACTATAGTATCTCTAAATTTTAATTAATGAAAAATTCATAATTATCAATTTGTTTTATAAGTGAGCAACAAAATTGAAATACGAATTAAAACATGTATATATGAATTGTAGACAAAAAGACATAGACAAACTAGTCAAACCAAATATTTGGATAATATAGTTAATTATTTCGTATCTAATATCTTATTTTTGTATCAATCTTAAGCATATATAAATATATTAATAGGAATTAAATTGGAGGAAAGGAACAAAATTAAAGTTTTTCTTTTTGTTGGGTACGCTTAAAAGAATGAGTACAATGAGTAAAGGAGGTTTAGAAATTTAGAAGATAGTGGTTCGTTGGAGTGTATATAATAAGAATAATTTGACTAAAAACATAGCTTAAGTAGAAGAAAGGTTTTGGGAGACACACCATATGATCTGTCTGTAGAACGATCCATGATTATATTATTAATTAAGGCGATTAGATTTTTCTGTTGTGGTCTATTAATTATTGAGAAATTGTTAAAAATGCCCCTTTTTCAATACCCCTTTTCAAAAATGCCCTCTTTGAGAGTCCATTTTTAAGTTTGCCCTCTTTTAGTTTTTAATGACCATTTTACCCTTATTTGAAACAAAATTAGGTCCACAAAATACAAAATATTTTTTGGCGGGAAAAGTGATCCCGTAATTTTCCCGCCAAAACACTTGTAAAAACCTTTAAAATACCTTGTAAAATTTTCCCGTAAAATTTTTCCCGCCAAAAAATTTTTTTGCGGGAAAAGTGATTCCGCAATTTTTTTGGCGGGAAAATTTTTGGCGGAAAAAATTTACAAGGTATTTTAAAGGTTTTACAGAGTATTTACAAGTGTTTTGTAAGGTTTTACAATGTATTTTAAAAAGTTTTACAAGGTACTTATAAGGTTTTATAAGGTATTTATAACTTGTAAAACCTTATAACTTGTAAAACCTTATAAAATAGCTTGTAAAATCTTATAATATCTTATAAATACCTTATAAATACGTTGTAAAACCTTTTAAAATACATTGTAAAACCTTATAAATACCCTGTAAATAACCTTTAAAATACCTTGTAAATTTTTCCCGCCAAAAATTTAACGCCAAAAAAATTGCGGAATCACTTTTCCCGCAAAAAAAATTTTTGGCGGGAAAAAATTTTACGGGAAAATTTTACAAGGTATTTTAAAGGTTTTACAAGTGTTTTGGTGGGAAAAATTGCGGGATCACTTTTCCCGCCAAAAAATATTTTGTATTTTGTGGACCTAATTTTGTTATATTTCCTTATATATTTGTGATATCTTTTATTAAAAGAAGGGTAATTTAGTCATTTTGTACATAAAAAGGGGTATTTTTAAAAATTGACAGCCAAATGGGGCATTTTTGAAAAGGGGTATTGAAAAAGGGGCATTTTTGTGAGTCTCCCTTAATTATTTCTTTAAAATACCATAACTATAAATTATTTTGAAAAGAAAACAAACTATGTGTAGACGAAATAAAATTACAGTTTAGATCTTTTATAAACCAAATTAAAACTTTCAAAACCATTATTGTAATACCAAATTATTTAGCGACCGTCATCATAAAATATAAATCTTTTTTTTCTAAACCAAGTATAGTTTTTATCTAAGTGCATGTATACATAAGAAGCAAAATTCATTTTGAAGAGATTGGGACCTCAACTATGATCAGTCTTAATTCTTAGCAATTGGGTTTTTGACGTTTGTTTGTTTTTTTTTTAGATCCAAAGACTAATCTTGGGACCTGAGAAAACCATGTTAGAATTCGAATTCCGGTGACCAATGTTACTCGAACCCAGGTGGCGGAGACTTTTCTCTCCCTTACCACTGGAGCAAGGCGAATTGGTTGACGTTTGTTTCTTACTTGATGAAATTTCCCTTTATGTGACTTTTGAAGTTCAGTCACCAAATCTTTTTATTTTCTCAAAAAAAACTTATGAGCCTTAAATTTTTTATCAAGAAAAAAAAATATGAATCTTATTTTCTTTCAACTCTCAAAGCCAAAGGATATAAGCCACTACCTTCCACTAGATTGGGACCAATATTCTTCTAATTCCACTAACTTTAAAACATGAGATACAATATACCGTAAATATTCACTTGAACCCTAGATAAGAAATTCTTAAAACAAATATCACAAAAATTATTAAAAATAATATAGTTAAATGTTGAAATCCAAGATATAGTTTAGTGATACTAATTTATCCATGGTTCGAGTTTGAGACATCATCATATAAAAGTATTTAGACATTCACAAAATGGAAAAAGGACCAACACGTGGGACAATATAGCCATAGACATTCACAAAATGAAACTCTTCACACCTGGAATTCGTAGAATTTTGTAACTATATCATAGCGATTTTGATATATTCATTTTGACTCCAACTATCACCAAATAAATTTTGAGCTTCCCAAATCGGTTGACTAGTTTTTTTTTTTATCAATCTCACTGCCAATAAACAATAAACATGTGACCACTTTTTACGATGTTTACCCCTAGCCAGATTGTAAATCCCATGTACAAAAATAAAACAAAATTCTTTCTAGTTCTCTTATAGATCTTCGTTAAAAGAATTTGTGTCGCAACCTGAAAGCTCAACTAGTGTGATCTTAAAGCCACTGTTCACAAAATTTTCTATTCAAATGTGGAATCATTCCTTTGATCTTATATATTTTAGCCTCAATCTAAAAACACTCAAATTATGAATTTGACATAGTAATATATATGTTAAACTTTCATGATATCAAATTCTTTTTTGCTCCATAGCGAATGTTAAAGGTCGAAACTTCTCTAACATTGTTCTTTTAGTTACCAAAAGTATTTTATACCATGTAAAATCGTTATCCAGCATTCCTTGATTCACAATAAGACTCATGAGAAGATTGATTTTCTTTGTTCTCCATGAAAAGTAGTAGCATCTGAATAATCCAGCCATACAAATTCAACATTATCTGTTTGTGTAGAGATAACTGTGCAACTGAGAACAAATCATAAGAATCCGAGTAAGAAAATAATAGATTTTTCTATAGTGTAATCCGAGGGAGAAGAAAATAAAATTTTCTAAACACATAAACATTGTATAAAAATATGAGACGTCTAAAATTATGAAATCAAGTATATATATTTTTTTATTAACTACTTGTATTGTACCCGTTTTAATTTGGATAATGATACAAACACAACTATTAAAAACTACAAAAAAATATGTCTAGTTTATCTACAGTTGATGATGATTTTCGATTGTCACTCTAGTATTACAACCAAAGTCAAATATCATAAGCTTCTCTAAATTAGTTTGATTAATGAAAAAGAAATAAGTGGTTCACATAAAAGAAAAGCATTAACAAGACATATAACCCTGTAATTGATATAACTGTTCTTACGAATAGCAAAACAATCAAAATTAGAAAATAAAGTCAATGATCAAGTGCACTAACCACAAACTCACTTAGAAGTGCTACATTTGTGCAAACCACTTTGTCCCATTTGATAAGACTAATTTGACAACTGATGTCGAAATATCACAAAAAAATATATATATTATTCTCTCTTTAGGTGTGGGGGAGGGATTATAATATGAATAGTAACACTTTGGAACAAATTTTAACTTCATATAAAGTGAGAACTATATATATCTTGTAGCAATACATGTATTGTATATCATGTAGATCGAATCATATCGATTTATTAGAAAAATAAAACACATAAATTGCAAATACAAAAATAAATCTTGGTTCCAGTTTATGAAACTTTGCTATAAAAGAAAATGGTATGGATAAAACTTTGGAGCACTATAAGATGGGTAAAACTAGATATTTAGTTACATATTCTTTTTTTTTTCCTAATATTTAATCAACTCTTGTAAGAATGTTATAGAAGATATTATTGGGATTAGTCTAAAGCTAATCCAGATTTACCCACTTTCTTGTTTTACAGATAAAGAACCATCATTTGAGATTCCACTTTGTGTGGTTAAAGTCTCTTTATATACAGGATTACCCATCAATAACCAACTTTTATCCTAATTATCACTTAAGAGACTTTTGTAGTAACACAATAAACAAATCAAAGTTTTGCATATAATTATAGAGAGCAAAAGTTGGTCTTCAATCTAAACTATATGGAGAAAAAGTCTTGAAGATCAAAGTAGAAAACACACATAAGAAGAATGTATTTGTTCTGAACAAGCACACACAAATAAGAGAATCCAAAGTCTTAACAACACAAATTAGTAAAAAGACTAAAGAGTTTTCAAACATCAGTAAAAGAAGACTTTAACATAGGAACTGTGCATAGTGTTTTTGTCTTGAGCCTCTTTGTTTCAAACCCGCTCTTTGTTCTTCGATTTCTCCACTGCACCTGGAGCTGCGACAAAGCAAATCAACAATGAAATGAGCCATTGAGTTTGAATGCAGATTCAGCAGAAAGATGTTGGCAAAGTAAATGGCTTACCTAATCCAATAGAGTCAGAGCCCTTCATGATCTTCAGTTTCTGGCATGTTTCAGTAAATATCCTGCAAATAGGTTTTAACAAAGGATTCAACTTTTGAGCGGATACAAAACCAAAAGATGGGAATTTTATGTAGCATGAATTAAGGTTAAAGATCTGATGTTATTCTGAAGTTACCGGAAGAACAACTCATAAAACCCGTAAAGTTACTAAATTTGAGTTTAAGAGAAGCTTACTCCCACGGGACATCTCCAACGAGCATCCAATCACCGTCTTTGTCTTCATAAGTAAGCACGAATTCTGATCCATGAAGAAGATCCTTCAGTTTGATCTCGCTCATTCTTTCCCTCCCTTGAGCTCCATGAAGTCCATATTGACCTGAGATCACAAACATGACGCGAAATCACTGTTTTTTTGTTCATTCTTTTTACAACGGAATCAAGGAATTGCTTAATATATAGAAAATTCTCACCAAGAGTGAAGCAGCTGAACATTTTCTCAAGCGCAGAAGACAACTGTTGATAAGAAGTATAAGTTCTCAAGTCGACCTTTCTCAGATACGGAGCACCATCCATGCTCACTTTCACAAACAGAGCACCAAGACCCGGTTTCCCATCAACTTCATCAGTGTTCTTCGAAGTAGAAGAAGCCATTGTATTCTTCCGGTATGATCTGATTGGAGGCCAACCAACAACCTGTGCCCTGCAAACAATAGATAGCTTACCACACGATTCGATCTTTCGTCATAAACAAACCATAAAAACTCATAAACAGGTTATCATATAATACACACTTGGCAGCTGGTGCATTGTTCAAGCCACCACCCTTAGCATGAGATCTTTCATCTTGAATACTCTTCGGGACATCCTTAACTTTCGGCGACAACATCATGTTGATTCCTCCAGGTCTAACAGATCCTTTCACACCCGAAAACTCGTCCCAAGTATCAGCAAATCCTCTCTTGTTACCAGAAACAACATTCTTGTGCCCTGTAGTAGCAGAAGCATTGTCTTTACAAGGTAGCAACGGGAAGAGAAGTTTCTCATCGAGTGTTCTCGGACTCAGCAAACCGAAATCAGTCTCTCTCTCAGGAGATTGCGACTCAGGAAGACCTAGCCTCAGTTCAGTAGCTTTGAAATTGAGATTGCTCTTCTCAACATTGGGAATAGTTGAGCTATCAACAGAGGAACAATCAGACAGACCCAAGTAGTTACGTTCCTTCAAACCAGGTTCCTCCTTATCCACACTTAGCAATCGATAAGACATCAGATCTTAATTTTGCAAGACTTGTTTTATCTGTTTAGCATCACAACAACAACAACAAACCAAATTACATAAAAATCTTCACTTTATATATATGCATGAACAAAATTCTCAATCTCAAGAAGAACCCAGAAAAAAATTAGGGTTTCAGATGAGAATTGGGTTAAATTTGCTTAACAAGTAAAATAAAGTTAGAAACTTTAACTTAGGTTTCATAGTCCAAATTCAACTTTATCGTTCCCAGAACTCATCTTCACCAAAATTAATCACTTTCCATTAAACAACAACTAGAGAAAACAACAATTTCTTCTGCATTTCCTTAAAATTCAAAATCACAACTAAAACACTTACTTACGAGAAAAGTAAACTAAACCTAAGTGATAATGAATCCATAGAAGCTACTAGAACGAAAGAGAAAAACCCATTTTGAAAATTGAAGTTTCTTTTAGAGAAATTGAAACTAGTACCTGAAGAGAGAAGAAGAACAGAGTATACGTAGAGGATCAAACAAACAAGAGAAAAAGGGAGAGTAGTGAGAGAGGAAAATGCACGAAGAGAAGCCAGAGAGGTCAAGGTCCGTCCATGGAAAATGAAACAGAGAAAGCTAACAAAAGCGCAACATTCAAGAAGAAGAAGAGAAACAAAAAACATGGAAGGAGTGGCAATTTTGGTAATAAACTAGAAAAGCATGGGCATTAAGGATAGATTGGGTTTTGTTCGTATGTGGTGTGGACTACTGTAGTAAGATCTGACGGTTGAGAATGAGTAAGTGAGAGTGATTCTGAGTCGTTAGATCTAATGGAGAAATAATAATTAATACATGTCGTTGTTATAGGTAACATGGTTTCAGGTTTCTGGTTTGTAAGGAAGCTTAAAAAACATGGAAAATATTATTAATTTTAATTTTTATTTGATTTATAAATATATTTTTTTGGTAGGATATTTGATTTATAAATTGAAATGACTGTTTTTGTCTCTGGTTTTTTTTTTGTAGGTCCACAAAAAACATGCGTGTGTTTATTTTTCTTTTTTTTTTAATTAAAATTATTATATGTTTTTATGATTAATTAAAAAATTTAAAAGTTTTGTTCAGAGTGTTTATGGTATATGATTTTGATTTAAAATGATTTAAATAGAAATGGGACCATCCAATATTTAAGAGGCTGAGTGGTCTAAAATACCTATTAAAATTAATACTTTTTCCATTATAAGTAGAGTTTCAATAGTTATGGGACCACGTATCGGTTTAAATTTTGTCTGTCTAAAAATATGCATATCTCCAATGAAAATTGCCAAGGAAAAAAAAGTAAGACAGAGCATTTAACAAGTGGAAAGAAATGAAAAATTACGAAAAAGTTAAAGAGTAAATTAGTAATTAAGTAATTAAGGGATTTATAATAATTAAGTAAAGAGCTGAGGAAAGCAGAGACAAGAAGGCAGCAATTAAACTTGGTTTTGCCGGCTGCTTAAAATATTCGCTTTTTATTTTTATTTTTTGAAATTTATATATTCTCTTTGTATTATGAATAATCAAAAACCAACATATTTTTCATTTATATTGTCTTCCCTATATTTTTAATGAAATCTTAGTCTACTTATGGATTGACTGACAGGTGATTAATTTTAGAAGGTTTAGTAAAAAAAAAATTGCAGTTACATAGAAGACAATGTGGTTAGATATGATGAATTAAGGGATAAATCTTTTATAAATAAAATTGATTATAATGATCGATGATTGAATGGTAATATGATATAATTATTAAAGTATTTAAATAATAAAACTAAAAAAGCTATTACAAAATGCACTAAAAGAAAAACAAGTTCAATTTTTTAGGCGGTATACTCGTCTTTGTATGTATTTATTTGCGACTACATGAATCCATCCAATTAAGATGAGTTATAATCAGAAAATGAATCGAACTAGATAATCTTAGTAAAATGTTCATCCAAATCATTTTCATAACATAAAGCTTCGTAGTTCATCATATCAAGACTATATTTTGGTTTTTGTTTGTTATATATTGTTTACATATATTTCTTTTTTTGTGTGCACCATTTACATATATTTCTAAAATTTAGAAAACTGATTGAAATATCAAAAATTTATTTTTACAAAATTTATGAATATGGTACATAATTTTTTTTGTTAAAAATAATAACATATTCACAATGTGATAGTTATGAAATGCACAATAATAGATACAATAATAAATGTAGACTCACAACAAAAGCCAAAAATATAATTATTTAGTTAAACTAGTGAGGAGATTGCACGAGGAACAAAATTCTAAAAACACAATCAATGTGAAAATGAGAGCAATGAATAATAGTATTTTTTATAAGAAAAAATAAGTGAAGTAGTGTAGTTTGAAGAAGAAGGTGATGATCAAAGAGACACGTTGGAAGCACGCTTAAAGAGAAGGGAAACAAACAAATCAGACTTTGCAGCTTCACTGTTGACATGCCTGTCACCTAATTCCATCATCACCCGCTCTCCTCTCTTCCTTTCTTTCACATCATACGTCACCGTCCCGTTGCTATACCATTTTTCACCCTCTTGTCTCCCACTCTTTTCTTGTTCTTTTTTTTTTTTTGATGTTCATTACTCCATCTTTTTTTTTGTTTCTATAAAAACAAAAATTATTCTTTCCTTTGCATAATGACTACGATCGGTAACACGTATAATGACAAAATAAAGTTTTCTAATGTAATTATGCAAAAAAATTATCAATCAAGAAAGTCTATTAACAAACAAAAGATTTGTGTTTGGCCTTAAAATCACAAGTAGAAACTTATTATGCAAATATCTAGATATATAATTGTTTATGATAAAAATTTATTATGTTATTATATAAATCTATCTAATCCGCACAAAATTTTATTTTACTAATTTTCGTTCTGCAAAATGTTATTCTGCAACTTATATTTTTATATAACCAATCAGAACCAATAATTACTAAATTATGCATAAGTTTTTTTTTTTTTTTTTTTTTTTTTCATTTTTGGCGATTCCGAACCGAATCTTAAACTAAATTTTCAAATTGTTTAGATTGTTGGATATTTTTTTCATTTAAAACATTCACGTCATAATTGAAATCATGATAGAAATTTAAACTTTAGTTCTCCCCAGCCATGATAAATTATTCAACTACTATAATACGTATATACTATCATGAATTGGTTTATATATATATATATGCTAGTTTTTTTTTTTTGCTTTTAAATAAAACATATGATAGATCTCTCTAAATTTATTTATGATATGTGTTGGGTAGTTTTTTGCAAGTATAGGTAACTTTGCAACGAGTCAATTACCTAAAAAATGGTCGTATACTGAAATGAAATCAAATTGGACGACGAGACAAACAAAAAAAAAAAAACTTTGGATGAAGATGTATTGTATTATCAATGGTTATAAGATATTTAGATTAGAAAACATACCAAAACCCAAATGACATACGCACATAAATTACGGCATGTAAGAGACTAAGAAGACCCCATGCATTTTTTTCATTCGTTATCAATTAATTAGTGTATATTAAATTATTAATCGTACACAATATAATACGGGCTTTCATAATCATATATCTTTTACACATTATGCTTTAAAAGAAAGACGTGGCCAACAAAAAGCTAAGCTACGCATGACTTTTTCATCCTGTTATAGCTAAATTTAAGGACTACGATTTTGCCATTTAAGTATATATAGTAAGTTTATACAGTATAGGTTACGGATTTTTCGTTCGTAAATAAGAAAATAAATGCGAACAAATATTAGAAGTCATGATAAATCAATGAATAAACTTTATAAAATGTGATTGTGTATCTCTGGTTGAGATTGTTTAATCTTATTAATAACTAAAAGAGTAAATATAAGTTTGTAAACATTAATTTACGATATTTCCAAATTTATATTGAAATTTAAGTGCTAACTAATATTTTTTTATTGTAAGTGTATTTAACCAAAAGTTAATTTTGAAAAATATCTTTAACTGAAAAGCAAAAATATACGAACCTTGAAAAGAACATAACATTAACACAATCGAATAAGCATCGTAATAATTCAAGATGATAAAAAAGATGACCGATGATCAGTGATCACTAACAGAATCATTATACTCGTGAAGAGATTATTAAAAACTTATAAATCCGTAATGAGTAGCAAAAGAAGTAAATAAATAAATAAATAGAGAAAACCTTTGCTTTGAGCCACAGGTTTTGCGGGGCAGTGCGACGACAATTGGACCCACTGCTTCCGCTTATGCCGGTCACACCTTTGTTTATTCATCTTTGATTTAGTAATTAAATTAATAACAAATTAACAACTAATCAACGAAGTTAAGCCATAGCCGTAGGATTAAGTAATTTGCTTAATCAAGACGAACAAATAACCGACAAGTGTTCACATGTAAAACGTCTCTCTCTAATGAGCATGTGTCTACTGGATAAAGGAAAAATAAGTCAAAGATCCTGTGTGTGCGATCATACGTACATCACGTGTGAGTATCCTATGTATCGAGGACACGTGTTGAGTATCTACAGGCGCTACAGCTCTCATATAAGCACTTGCACGTAGACATGTCAATTAGGGCCAAAGCCCGCGGACTGGCCCGGCCCAGCCCTAAAAAACAGCGGGCTCGGGCTTAAAAATATATGTCCAGAAAAAAATCGGGCCTTTCGGGCTAAGCCCGTTGGGCTAAAGGGTTTTTAGGGCTTAGCCCGGCCGGGTTCGGGCCGGCCCGAAAAGCCCTTAAAAAAAGATTTTAACTTTTTTTTGGTAAATATTATTGTTTAATTAAGAGATTTGTTTAAAGATTTTTTTTAATAGAGTTAAAAACCCTAAACCTAGTTTTCTAATTGTGTCTTACTATAAGTGTTCTGATTTTATATTTTATTTAGTGTGGGTTTAAACAATTTATTTAGATTATTTATTTGATTTTAAACTTTTTTTAAAACTAAATTGGCTTTAGTTGGTTATTTAAGTTTCGTTTGACTCTTTTTATACATAGATTTTAAATTTTTTCAAGAAATATTATAAATTAGAAGGGTTTATTTTTCTCGAAAGAAAAGCCCAAAAAAGCCCGTAAAAGCCCTGTAGCCCTGTTAGGGCCGGGCCAGGCTTCAAAATCTAGGCTCGGAATTTTTACGGGCCGGGCCGGGCCGGGCTCAAATATATGCGGGTTTTGCGGGCTTCGGGCCGGGCTAGCCCGATTGACATGCCTACTTGCATGAGGTTAAATTCCGATTTTTAGCTTGCATAGTGATATGAAATGTGTGACTGATTAATTATATTTGTAAAATTGTTTGGATATAAACGATTTGTCTAGAATCTATAGAAAACACAAAGAAATATGCAAGAGCAAAAGACACGAGAATCAATTGATTCCTTGTCATCTAACATAATTCATAGATTGATTGATTGTATCTTGGCATGTGCTAGAGATTCTTGGAATGGTAATGGGTTCTTTTATGATGACATATTCTTCTTTCTTTACCGTAATCATCTAAGCATAAGGTCAATTT